TTGGGTGCACAGGAGGAAACGGGGACTAAGAAGGTGACTTGGAGCAGGTCACACAGTGAGGGAGCACAGGCAGGGGTGGTGCCCCGTGCTCTGTCTTGTCACTGGTCCAGGGGACTCTGAGTCTCAGAAGCTGAGGCCCTGACTGCCTGCCCCAGCCCTCCCCAGCCTGGTGTCCAGGGATTAGCAGATTAGCTCAAATCATGGGGCTCCTGGTAGGCTTATCAGAGGCGCCTCTCTGGGGCCTTGGGGGTGGCTTGGCGCTCTGCCTCTGGCTCTGCTGACTCCCACCCTGGCTGGCTGCCCAGTCCTCTGCTCCAGCCGGGGGTGGGCCGCATGGCAGGCCGGCAGCCAGCCTTGTGCATTGTGGACCTGGAGTGGGGGTGGGGGAGCAAGTCCAGGGCAACCTTTGTGTCCCTGCAGGATGCTGCCCGGAAAAGGGCCTTCTGGGCTGCGCAGCCCCTGCCCTGTGGGGCTGGATTCCTCGGGGCCTGCCCTATTCACGTGCCCGTGAACTGCGGGGCGTGGGGCGCACGTGTGGGGCAGGTGAGAGGGGACCTGTGAATAAAGGGGAGCCTGACAACCGGGCGGGGCTGAGTCACATGCAGTGGGTGTTCCTCACGAAGAACAAGGCTCCCGTGGACTGCGCCTGCCGGCTCTGCTCGTCCGTGTGGTCTGTGTGATGGTCTCCGTGGTCCTGTGTGTGTGGGGGGGGGATCAGCCTGCTCCCCAGGGGAGGCTGGGGCAGAGCCCAGGAACCCTGCTCTTCATTCCGGTTCCACCGTTGCTTTACCCGAACGTACAGTGCTCTGACACGGCGTGGGAAGGGCTGGGGGGAGCTGCAGCTCCGCGGGACGCATTCTGAGACCTCAGGAAGGCACCCCCCTCTCCGGGCCTCAGTTTCCTCGTCCGCGAGGGCACGTCGTTCCGTGAGGAGATGAGGGGGTGGGTGCGAGCACACCCGTGCGTTACTGACCGCTTGTGGATCCTACGAATGTCCTTCGAGGACGTCAGGGAGGATGGGGCGGGGGCGAGGGGTACACGAGGGGCCAACAGACCCTCCACAGCAGCCCTGACCACAGAAAATGAGGGTGAAGATCCTGTCTGCAACCCCCTAGAGCTGGTCAACTATCCAGCATTCAACCTGACAAGGAAAGTGCAGAATCCGCACGCAGGAAAACTTGAGGACATGGAGAGAAGGTTCCATGTTCCAGGAAGAGGATGACATGGCCGAGACATTTATTCTCCATACACAAGTCCGTAAAACCAGTTCAAGTTCAGCTGTTAAAAAATGCTACTGAGCCCTGGCTGGTTTGGCCCTGTGATTAGAGAGTCAGCCTGCAGGCCATCGAGTCTCGGGTTTAATTCCCAGTCTAGGGCGTGTACCTCGGTTGTGGGTTCGATCCCCGGCTCTGGATGGGGTCATGTGGGGGCTGGGGTGCTGAAACCAATCTCTGTGTCTCTCTTACATCGATGTTTCTCTCTCCCTCCCCCCTCTATCTAACAATCAATAGAAAAATATCCTCCAGCGAGGATTAAAAAAAAAAAAGCAACTTGGTGCGCTGATTCTAAAGTTTGCCTGAAAGGGAAGTGTATTAGAAACAGAGGAATAGCCCTGGCCGGTTTGGCTCAGCGGTTAGAGCGTCGGCTTGTGGACTGATGAGTCTCAGGTTCAATTCTGGTCAAGGGCACGTGCCTCGGTTGGGGTTCCTCTTTGGCCCTGATTGGGGTGGTGCGGGAGGCAACCAGTCAATGTGTCTCTCTCACATCGATGCTTCTCTCTCTCCCTCTCTTCCTCTCTCTCCTTTCTACTCCATCTGAACAAAAATGGAAAAATATCCTCTGGTGAGCATTTAAGCAAAAGAAAAAGAAACAGAAATAAAGAGGAGGGTAGTTGCTCCAGCACATATTCCAAAACTAGAGAAACTGGAGGAGTCCAGGGTGGGTGCAGGACAAGGCAGGGGCTCAGGGGAGTAGAGAAGAGACCAGAAGCTGTGCATTGACTGCTTCCCAGCTGCAGAGGAGAGACGGACTCTTCGATAATGATGCCGCAGTGTGGCCTTTGGGTATTCATTTAGCAAAAATTAAACTAGGTCCTTGCCTCACACCCTGCACAAAAATAAAGTCCAGATGCACTAAAGTTTTTCTACATCCAAATCGTGTGTGCGCATCAAGAGGACAGCTACCTGTCTCCCTACGTGCGATGGATGATAAAATCGGGAGGAGGAAATGCAGGAGTGGACTGCTGTGACCTCGGAAATGCACAGGCCCCTCCTGCAATGTGCACAAGTTATCAGCCGTAAAGGAAAAGACGAATTTAGCGACATAAAAATTTCCAAATACTTGTTGAACCAAAGCATTTTAAACGAAGTTAAAGGACAAGTGGGAGGAAGAAAACACGTGGAACAGCTGGAGGAGTGAAACTGTGATGGGCGTTTGGGGCGAAGAGGGTGCCTACAGGTTTGCTTTTCCTCCAGTCTCAGCATGGCGCGGCTTTTTAATGACAAGAACGGTTCTTACAAAAATTACGGAAATAAAGCCAGGTGGAGCGTGTGTGGCTCCCAGGTCCACTGAGTGCTGGGAGGGAGCAAGGAGTGGCAGGCGTGTGGGGTGACCCCTCGGAGCCCACACACTCTGGAGACCACTGGAGGGCAGGCTCCAGGGGCTGGTGAGGAGGTTGGCAGATGGTTAGAGGGGTGGATTCTGTGCCGGAGCAGGGCCTGTCCAGTGTGCCCTCCCAGGAAACAAGTGTATTTCCGATTTATCTGCCCTTTTAATACCCAGCTGGACCTGTGCCAGCCTCTCCACCTGCCTGCCCCTGCCCATGTGAATTCTCTCCTTGCTGGCTCCGGTCAGTGCCCTTTCTGGCTTGGCCAGCCTGCCCCACTCTGAGGCCCTGCTTAGGGGCAGCGTCACTCCCTCCTATGACCCGCCTGGGGCCGGAGGTTTTGGTGATCGGTTACGCAGCACCTGCTGTGTGTCCTGCTCCGTGCCGACAGCCCCGCGGGTGGAGTCATAGTAGATCCTGGCAGTAGAGACTGTTTTCAGCACTTCTGTAAGCTCTCAAGTAAATACTACAACGGGTGGGATTCAGCGATGGCAAAAATTATGCATGCAAAATGAGTGACTAGTATAACTTTTCTTTCCACTTTTATTGTGGTAAAACACATACACCATAAAATGCACCATCGTAACTATTCTTAAGTGTACAGTTCAGTTGTTTAAAATAATTCATAATACTGTGCAACCATCACCACTATCCATCTCCATAGCTCTTTTCCTTAAAAAAAATTTTTTTTTTCTTTATTGATTTTAGAGAGGTGGGAAAGAGAGAGAGAGAAACATTAATGAGAGAGAACATCGACTGGCCGCCTCCTGCATGCCCCCCACTGGGGATGGGACCCACAACCTGGGCATGTGCCCCGACTGAGAACCGAATTGGTGACCTCTTGGTGTATGGTCGACGCTCAACCACTGAGCCACACTGGCCGGGCTCCATAGCTCTTTGCATCTTGTAAAACTGTGACAGAATTTCCTTCCTCTTTAGGACTGAATAATCCTCCATTGCATGTGCATTTTTTGTTTATTCATCTGTTGGTGAACATGGTTGGTTCCATGTTTTAGCTACTGTAAATAATGCTATGAATGTGGATGTACAAATATCTCTTTGAGACCATGCTTTCAATTCTCTTGGGTAAATACCAAGTGGAATTGCTGGATCATATAGTAATTCTATTTTTTAACTTTCTGAGGAAACACCATACTGGTTTCCACAGTGGTGGTGGAAATTTTTTATTCCCACAACAGTGTACAAGGGTTCCAATTTCTCCATATCCTCTTCAACATTTACTATTTTTTAATTTAATTTTTTTTTTTCTGTATTGATTTTAGAGAGAGAGGAAGGGAGAGATGAAAACATCAATGAGAGAGAGATGGAAACATCAATGGTCACCTCCTGCATGCCCCCCACTGGGGATCAGGCCCACAACCTGGGCATGTGCCCTGACCAGGAATCGAACCAGTGACCTCTTGGTGCACAGGTGGACGCTCAGCCACTGAACCGCACTGGCTGGGACTAATTTTTATTTTCTGATAGTAGCCATCGTAATGGGTGTGAGAAATTATCTCATTGTAGTTTAGATTTTCATTTTCCCAAAGGTCAATGATATTGAACATCTTTTCATGTGCTCATTGGCCATTTGTGTGTGTGTGTGTGTGTGTGTGTGTGTATACATATATATATGTATATATGTATATATATCTTTAGAAAAATGTTTGTGAAGTCCTTAGCTCATTTTTAAGTTTTTTTTTTTTTTGTGGTTGAGTTTTAGGAATTCTCTATATAATCTGGTTATTTGTCCTTTATCAGATATATGATTCACAAATATTTTCTCCCATTCTTTGGGTTGCCTTTTTACTTGTTGGTGTCTTCTGATGCATGAAAAGAGAAATAAATGTTTATACCTGAAAACCTGAGGTCCAGAGAGGGGGTGTCCTGCCTAATGCCACACAGTAAATCATTCGTATGATATGGAAACGCTCCAAGTTAGGCAGGAGTGATGTTCCCATTTCCCACCTCATCTGGCACAACAGCCATAATCCTCTCCCCATTTTACAGATGGGGAGACTGAGGTTCTGAGAAAGCTGGATCTTGCCCAAGGTCACATCTGGGTCGGGGGCGGAGCTAGGCTTGAAGCAAGGGAGACGACTCAGGTACAGGCGCCAGACTGCCTGGCTTTGAATCCTGGTGCTGCCATTTGCTGGCTGTGACCTCTGGCAAGTCACTTTGTTACTGGGAGCCTTCCCTGTCCCCACGTGTGAAATGGGGGCTCGTGGGGGCTCGTGGGGCTGTCGTGAGGATGCCTCGACACTAGTACATAACTAATAATTGCTAACCGTGGTGTCAGACATCAATGCTAGTCCACCCTCACTCTTTGGGGCCAAAGACACACAGTCTTGGCCTAGGGCATGAAGAATAAACTTTAATCTCTGGGCGTAGGGGGTCAGCTAGGCTGCTCTCTGGGTGGGGTCACGGAGCCATGCACACGCACCCGGTACAGGCAGGTGAAGCGTGGGTTCCCCCAGTTGCTCGATATCTTCACCTTGACTGCCCCAAAAGTCCGGGTGGGCTGGTTCTGAAAGAGATCACAGACATGGGGAAGCTCACCCCTAGACCCCCACTCTGCCTGCCCAGAAGGGTGTTTGGGAGCGGAAGGGACCCATTTCATATGAGGGGAAACTGAGGCTCAGAGAGGGGAATAGACCATTTCAAGGCCACAGAGCAAGTCGATACTGGGGCTGGGGTGGAAGGTGCTGAGGCCAGGACAGACCACTGTGACTAGGAAGGTGTCCCGGCTTTGGGGCCCTGGCACGTGTGTGCTCTGGGACCTGAGTTCACTCCCTCTCTGGGCTCCAGTTCCCCAGTCCCTAAAGCTGGAGAGGTGACGTCCACGTCCATAGTGCTATGAGCGTGAAGCGAGATGGTGGAGCTGGACGGCTCACTGGCACCTGGTCACAGTCGATGTGCAAGACTGCGTTGTCTCTCTCCCAGGGAATCACGCAAGGGGAAACTGAGGCACAGCGAGGCAGGGAAGGGCCCAGATCTCACGGAATCGGTGTTTAGGTCAGGATTTGGGTCAGTGTCGGCTCCCAAGCCTAGACTTTCCTCCACGTCTCCAGGCCATTCCAGCAGCTACCCCTCCTCTGGTCCTGCTCCGTCTCCAGCTCCCTCCCCTCCAGGCACCGGTTTCCCCACCTGTGGCTGGACCAGGTTCTGATACTGGACCTCCCAGTATGGAGATGCCAAGTTTGAAGCCAGCAATCCTGGCGCGATGGGCCCCTTCTGCTCAACATCCCTGCCCCCGGAGGGCTCCTGGGCAGACGAGGGAAATGGGAGCTGCCAGAGGCTGCGTGGATCTCAGGTCCTGGGCAGTGGGTCCCTCCCTCTGAGCCTGGCTCCTTCCTCTGTCAAGCGGGTTAGTGACAGTGTGCACCTCCTGGGGCTGCTGGGGGATGAAGTGGGGTCCCCTGGCAAAGCCCGGCACACAGTGTGCATTCAGCAGATGCTCGGCGGGGCAGCTGGAGCTGGAACCTGGTACCTGGAGCTGGAACGTCTGAATGATGTTTTCCGGCTGAAACTGAAACGCCCCCAGGAACACCTCCTCCTTGGAGGCGCCTTCCATGCCCTGTAGAATCAGAACCAAGAAAAAAGTGTCAGGTACAGGCAGGACCCTCAGAGAGTGCTGCCACTCTCCGCTGAGACTTGCACACCTCCCAAGATGAGGAGCTCCCTACCTCTTTGGGGACCATTCTGTTGCAGTGCAGAATAATGGATAGAAAAGAACAGTGGACTGGGATTCAGAGGCTGAGGGTCCACTTCGACTCTGCCATTGACTTGTGGGATTTGGGTGGTTCCCTTACCTTTCTCTGGACCTCAGGCTCCTTATCAGTGAAACTGTACTCAGTGGTCTCTGAGGACTAAATCAGCCCTGAAAAGCTTGGGTTGAACCAGAGTAGCTGTTTATCCCCTGTCTGTAAAGGCTGCGATCTGGCTGCGATCTGACTCTGACCCTGGCCACGCCCAGTGTTAACAAAGCCTCCTCCAGCCTCTCTAGCCTGCATGAGTTGTGCGGTCTACCACAGAGCCTGGAACATGGCCGTTATGAGGCTGTCCCCTTAGGTAAATACTGCCCCCTGCCAGGGCGTGCTCACATAGATGACAAAGTCCTTGGGGGCTGTGTCCAGGCTGCCCGACAGTGAGATGGTCTTGGGGATGTGCTGCAGGGTCAGGTTGGACAGATAGACCTTCTGGGCCAGTCGGATGGTCACCTGGCCACGTTCACCCGAGAAGGCCCAGCAGTTGCCAGGTGTCACGTTGGGCTGGAGGGGCAGGTGTAGTGGCGTTACGCTGGGTGGGTGGAGGAGGACGGATTCCTCACCCCACCCTAGCTCCCCAGACCTCCTCTGCCCTCCTGGATGAGCCAAATCTGCCTGACTACAAAGCTTGGCTTGAGCGCCACCAACTCCAGGAAGCTCCCCTGGCTGCAGGCAGTAAGGATGAGTCTTCCCCTAGCCCTGCGCAGTGAGGACAGGGCCCGGAGGGTTCCCTGACCCTCAGTCTGGAGAGTTGGGTGGGGGCCCCTGCCAGTGCTGAAGCAGGCTGTCCGCTACCCCTGTGCCTGTCTCCTGCTGCTGCCCAGCCCCCCACTATCTGTTCTTGCCTCCTGCCCTTGCCCCTGACTTCTATACCCAACCCCCATCAATTGCCACCTTCATCTGCCCCCTGCTCCTGCCCCATCTCTGTCTCCTGCATCAACCCTGCCCTAGGCCCCAGGCCCTCCACCCTCAACCCCAACCTTATCTTTCAGCGGTGAGCCCCAGACCCCTGACCACAGCCCTGCCACTCTCCCGGGCCCGCCATCCCCTGCCTCGAGGATCACGTCCGGGGGCTGCGCGTAGTTCCACAGCCGGATCCAGTTCCAGTAGGAGCGAGCCTTGTCGTGGTTGTATGTGGCCGACGTTTGCCCAAAGTCAATGGAGGCCCCTGTATGGGAGGTGGGGAGGGGGGCTCTCAGCCGAGCAGCCCGGCTACTGCCTGGTGGAGGGGAGCCTCACTGGGCACTGACTCTGTGCCTGATGCATCTGGACGAGTCACTGGCCCTTTCCGGACCTCAGTGTTCTCCTCTGGGAAATGGGACTAAGAATAATAACACTAATAGAAGAAATGACACAGCCACCTCATAGGGTCGTCGGGAGGTTGAAATGAGTTAAGCCCCCCGTGTTCGTCCGGCAGTGCCTGGCGCCGGGTCAACACTCACTAATGTCATTGTCATTACTATGGCTGTTCTTACACCCATTTCCCAGAGGAGGGAACCCTGACCCTGGGACTTAAGCTGATGCCTCTGGCCCCACATCTCTTTGGGCCGGAGGGCTCCTGGGTCCGTCAGCTGGAGGCCCTGTGGCCCCCCCACTGCCTCCCGTGCCCCTGCTTGCTCCTGCTCTTGCCAAGTCCTCACAAGGCACCTTTCACTTAGGTTCCCCTGGTCTGGAATGCTCTCCCCTCCTCACCAGGTTTCGAACAAATGTCCCCCGCCTCTGTCCAGGTCCCCTCTATCCCAGCCACCTGCTCTATTTTTCCAAAGCACCCACTCCCAGCCTTGATTGGAACTGTGTTGGTTCGTAATGTGGTTAGTCTTCCCCACCTGAAGCAAGGATGGTGAGCGGGTGGAGCGGCGGTGGAGGGCCTTCCCTCCCCACCTCAGCCCCCATGAAAGAAAACCAGCTGGGGAGCAGAGGTTAGCTCCGAGGGTGAACTTCCCAGCAGCAGTGGGTGCACCAGACCAGAACTGAAATCCACCCTCTGGAGAGTTTCTGAGCGCCGACTGCGGAGCGGATCACTTACCTATAGACTTCAGGGCAAAGTCCGGCTTTTCAGTGTAATCTCCTTGAATCATCTTCATTATTTTCTGGGCCATTTTTTGCTGAAGAGGCAGAAGACACAAGCTGTGCACTGGTGTGTTCTTACAGGGCATGGTCCACACGTGTGTTCACACCAGGTGACAGGCAGTTGCAGAACACCTTCTGCCCCTGACTGCTCACACCTGCCTATGGAAGCCAAAGCTGGTGCATACAAAGACCACCCAGTCCCGATACTGTGAGGAAGCCCAGGGGACACAGAGCCTCTCCTACCCCACTGGGTGCTTTCATACCCATGGTGACGGGGTGGGAATGGAGGCTCAGTGAAGTTAAGGGCAGGGAGCCTGGCGTCAGACAGACCTTTACCGCAGTGGGGTATTGGGCTAGTTACTGCCCATTGGAGCCTTGATTTTCTCGTCTGTAAGATGGGATGACAGTCATGTCTACCTCCCACTGTTGTGAGGATTAGACTTGAGACTTAGGAAGTCACTCCTGTGTGCCAGGACTGCACAGAAGGATCTTGTCCAAGGTCCCACACTGGTAAGAGGCAGAGCCAGGCGATATGGTTCCGGAGTTCCAGCTCCTAGTCACTACCCTCGACTGCCAGACAAAGACTGCAGGGCGCTTAGCAGTCGGTGCTCAGTAAATGCTGCCTATTATTTTGATTAAACTCTTTACAGCTTGGGCAGATTGTATTTTCCAACAAGGTCCCCCATTCCATGTTCTTCTTTCAGTGTAACTGTGACACTCTTGCCATTAAGAGGTGGGACTTAAGTTCCCTCCCGTTTGTCTGAGTGGGCCTGTGATTATGGCAGAAGTGATGATGTGTGACGTCTGAGCTAAGTCCTAAGAAGTGATACAGCACCGCCTGGTTCTCTGGGGCACACTCACTCTTGGATGCCCACGGCCATGCTGTGAGGAAGTCCAGACCACATGGAGAGGCCACGTTTGGGTGTTTTAATCAAAAGCCCTAAATTCCCAGTTGACAGCTAGCATCAACCTCCAGACATGTGAATGAGGACACCTGCAGATGATTCCAGGCCCAGCTCTCCAGTCGCCCCCAGCCTTCAAGTCTTCCCAGCTGAGGCCCCAGCCATCATGGAGCAGTGACAAACCATCCCCTCTGTGTCCTGTCTGAATTCCTGACCCACAGAATCTCTGGGGTGGTTTGTTATGCAGCCGTAGTAACTATAACAACAGCTAAGGTGTTTACAGGGCAGTGATTATGACTATTTTGTTGATGGGGAAATTGAGGCTCAGAGAGATTGGTTCCCATCCTAAAACGACATGTATGATTCAGTAAATCTGGGTGGGGCCCATTCATTTTAATTTCTAACATTTTTCCAGCTACTGTTGGTACTTCGGGTGTGGGGTCACATTTTGAGAGCTACTGCCCTTGAAATAGTGGTGAATCAATACTGAGCAGCTACAGTTGCACTGCGCTTCACCTGGGGGGCACTAAACCAGCTATGGACACATCTAGGCTGAGACTCCAAGCCTGCCCCTGGAGAGAAGGCTGCCACTGGGGTCGGAAACTGCATTTGTGCAGGGCTAGGAGACAGGGTTGGAGACTTGAGAGGCTTCAAACACATGCTAAGTCTTTCCCATCAGAACATTTATCAAATTTTCGAAGCTGCATGGGCAGGAGGTTAAAAGGTTAAGCTGAAAACCTCTGACTAAATCTTATAAACATTGTAATTCAGCCCTGGCCGGTTTGGCTCAGCGGTTGGAGCATCGGCCTGCGGTACAGAGAGACCCAGGTTCGGTTCCCGCTAAGGGCACGTATCTCGGTTGCAGTTTGTCCCCGGCCCTGGTTGGTCGTGCGGGTGGCAGCCACTCGATGTGTCCCTTCGCATTGATGTTTCTCTCTCTCTCTCTTCCTTTCTCTCCCTCCCACTCTATCTGAACAAAAAATGGAAAAATGTCCTCGGGTGAGGATAAAAAAAAAACATTGTAATTCAGGTCTGAACCAGCTCAGTGCACATCAACATAGATGTGACCAGTGCCCTTCATTATCCTTACAAAGAAAAGAAGGACCTCTCATTGGTAGCAGTTAAAATTATCTGGAGCATCTACAGTTCTCTTATATACAATGTCCAGAAAACACTAAAAAATTACTAGACGTGAAGAGGCAAGACCATATGAATGATACCTCAAAGGAAAAACAGACAGTAGAAGGAGACCACAGATGATCCAGATATTAGATTTAGCAGACAAGGATTTGTTGCTGCTGTTGTTAACTGACTTTTAGATAGAGTGGAAGGAAGGGAGGGAGAGACAGAGAAACATTGATGTGAGGGAGACACATCGATTGGTTGCCTCCTGCATGACCCTGACCAGGGCTGGGAATTTAACCTGCAACCCAGGTACGTCCTCTTGACCCGGAATTGAACCCGTGACTTTTCAGTCTGCAGGCTGATGCTCTAACCGCTGAGCAAAACTGGCCAGGGCAGCAGACAAGAATTTTAATATAAGTATGACTAGTATGTTAAATAAATTAAAGGAAAAATGGCCAACACAGATGAAATGTTGAAGAGTTTCACTATAGAATTTAAAAAGCTATGAAAAAGAATAAAATATATATTGTAAAACTAAATAATGCAATATATAAAATTAAGAACTTAATGGAGAGCTTTAACAGTAGACTGAACAGAACAGAATGAAGAATTATTAATTAACCTAAAGAAACTTGAATTGAAAATATCAAAACTTAAGAACCTAAAAAAGAAAAGAAAACAAAACAAAAACCCAAACCAAGTAATAGCATAGCAGTTATGTGGAACATATTCTAAAGGTCTAGCATAGCCCTGGCCAGTCTGTCTTAGTGGTTAGAGCATCAACCTGCGGACTGAAGGGTCATGGGTTTGATTCCTGGTTAAGGGCATGTACCTGGGTTGAAGGTTTAATCCCCGGCCCTCATCTGGGCTCCTGCAGGACACAACCAATCAATGTTTCTCTCTCTCCCCACCCTCCCTTTATCCAAAAATCAATAGAAAAATATTGTCAGGTGATGATTAACATCAACAAAAATTAATAAAGATCTAGCATAGATATAATTGGAGTCCTAGAAAAGGACACAAATATTAAGGAAGAAGAAATATTTTAAGAGCTAATAGCTAAGAATTTCTCAAACTATTGCAAAACATCAATCCATAAATCTGATAAACTCAGCACACCCCAAGTGGGTTAAATATAGGACACTGAGAAAAAAGAATATCCTACAAAGTCTGATGGATGAAAAAACAGACCACACTCAAAGGACCAAAAATAAAAGTGCCAACAGCAATAATATAAACTAGAACACAATACTAGACTTCCTTCAAAATTTTCAGAGGAAAGTATTTCCTAGCTATAATTCTATACCCAGCCAAACTATCAATCAAGTGTTAGGGTAGGATAAAGACATTTCAAACATGCAAGTTCTGAAAAATTACATATAGCTTGTATTTCACGCTTTTTCAGGAAGTTATTGGGGAATGTGCTCCACCAAAACTTAGGATACAAGAAACAAGGCATCAAACAGAGAAGTTAGGTGTTGGGGGAGAATGGCCAGCATCTCACCTCATCTGACATGGCTTCCATCTCCTGGAGCTTGGCAATGAGCTGGTTTATGCTACCGCGGAGAACCTGGATTTCCCCAGTATGATGTCGCACCTTCTCCTGGTACATCCTTATAAGGAAGGAGTGAGAACGTGGACTGACTTATTTGTGAAGCTATTGTCACCCTCAGCCTCTACTTCTGCCAGTCAGCCCACTAAGAACTAGCTTCACATTTTCCCACTCTCCTGAGCCTACCCCTGGAGGTATCCAGGTTCATATCTCTAAAACATTACTCATGCTTTTCCTCTTGCTTGGAATATTCTTTAACCCAGTTCTTTCCTTCCAAATATTCCTGAGTATTTTGTCTGCAATTAAGGATACTGCCACCAGGTGGTATCTTGTTGGTTCAAATTCTTTCAGCTACCTTTTTGCTAAGCACTAACTATGGGCCAGGAATTATTCAAGACAGTTTACATCTTCTTTAAAACCCATAATTACCCAGAGCAAAATGGGTGTTATGCCTCATCTCATGAACGAGGAGTCAAAGACCCAGAGAGATAAAGTGTCTTGCATAAGTTTAGCCAGATAGGAAGGATGGGAGCAGGGCTTTAAATCCAGGTTGGTCTGACTTCAGAGCCCATATTGTTAAGTCAGTACATCCCAGGTCCTGGCTATATCTCTGGTTTTTAGGTGTTAATAGAACTATTTATCAGATCCTTCTTACCTCAAGCTCTTCAGTGGACTATTTATGCTGTCATCCTGGTGAGGTATTGAGGAAGCAAGAAATCTTCTTCAGATGGTCTAATCTGGGCCCAGCAGAGCTTTATCCATTCATTCTCCCATAACCATAGATCTGTTCATTCATCTACCTTCTTATTTATGCTTTTGTCCATCCACCCATCTACCGTCTATCAAAAATCCAGTTTACCTTCCTGTTTATCCATCCATCCATCCATCCATCCATCCATCCATCCACATCCATACTCATATACCCTCCCACCCACCCACCCATCTTCCATTTATCAACCTTACCTTATCCATTAACCCTCTCTCATTAATCCATTTATCTCATCTTTCCATCCATTCATCATCCCAACTATCTACCCTCCCATTCAACCATCCATCTATCCAATCTTTCATCCATTTACCAAACCATATATTCCATCTGCCCTCCTATCTATCCATTTTATCATCCATCCACTTTTCCATTCATCCATCTATCTATCCCCCAAATACTTCTCCCAGCCCCTACATCTATCACTATCACCCTCCCATCCATTCTTTCTCCATTCACACTCCCATGTGGCCACCCTGTCATGCAACATTGATAGTGGCAATCCTGTGCCTAGTCCTGGGTAGACATTGTGGGAATGAATAAGACCTGGCTTTGCCTTCAAGGGCTGCCAATACAGTTGGGAAAATAGTTATGATTACAGAAAATTACATTTGTGGCTGTAGAAAATTATGGGAGCAGAGAGGGGAATGTGACCACCTCTGCCTGGGTGTTTGTGGAGGAGGTGACATATTAGCTGGATCTGGAAGGAGATGAAGGAGTTCATAAGAGGAAAAGGAAGGAGGGAGGGACAGACCCATCAGATTCCTTTCCTCTCTAGGCCTTCTGAGTCTCTTTGCTGTCCTCGGACAGGGAGCTCTGGCCATTGTTTTTCTTCTCCTTCTTCCCCAGGATCCACATAGCAAATGGTCTTATCTTATTTGAGCAGGACAAACTCCCCTGAGCAGAAAGAGAAAGGTGTTCCCTGTCCTCACCATCCCACTTTATGTGGGGGCCTTGATAAAGAAGAGATGGGTTATCTCTGGGAGTGAGTGACAGGAGGGGCATCCTGGAAGAGAGAATATTGCATCTGGTCTTTGAAAAAAATTTTAAAAATATTTTTTTGTTATTGATTTTAGAGAAAGAGGGAGAGGGAGAAAGAGAGAGAAAACACCAATGAGAGAGAACATTGGCTGGCCGCCTCCTGCATGCCTCCCACTGGGGATTTGACCCACAACCTGGGCATGTGCCCTGACCAGGAATTGAACCTGCGACCTCTTGGTGCTTAGGTCGATGTTCAACCAGTGAGCCATACTAGCCAGGTTGCATCTGGTCTTTGAAAGTCACATTTTGGTGGGAGAGATGGTTCCAGGTGAGTGGCATGGCAAAGGTAGAGATTTGGAGCTGGGATGAGTCAGGAACTAGCACGTGTGGTGACAATGAGAGGAGCTTATAGAGGTGACATTGACTGGGGAGAGGCCAGTCAGCTGTGGGGCCTGAAGAGAGCACACTCACCTGCCAGACTTCCACTTTGGATGGTAAGTGCACAATAAACATCCAGAATCCTGTGGGGCCAGAGAAATGAGAATGAACCATTTAAGATAAAAAGTTAAGAGCTTAGGGTCTGGAGTTAAAGCATCTAGGTTCAAATCACAACTTTGCCCCTTACTAACATTGTGCAACGTTGGAAGAAGTTACTTAACCTCTCTAAACCTCAGTTTCTTCATCTGTAAGATGGGATAACAGTAATATCTTTTTTATGACTGAATGATATCATATATACAAAGTAGTTCACATAAACCAAATAATCCATGTCTCTTCTCCCTCCCCTCTCCCAATCCTACTGGGGATAATTGACAAAGAGAATAAAAAAGGGTGGTTTCCCCTGCACTTTATAATGTCTGTGTTGCCTGAAATCTAACTGTTCAAGCCATTAATAAAATCCTTTAAAACCTATTTGTTGTTTAAATTAAAACACAAACTAGAATAGAAAGGAACTTCCTCAATCTGATAAAAGCCATTTATAAAAACCCACAGCTAACATTATACTTGATTATGAAAGACTAGGTGCTTTCTTCCTAAGATCAGGAACAAGACAAGGATGTCTGCTCTTGCCATTGCTATTTAAAATTGTCCTGGAGGTTCCAGCCAGGACAATTAGTCAATAAAAATAAATAAAAAGCAAATGACATAATCTTGCATACAGAATCCTAAAGTATTCAAGACTGTGTGTCTTGCCCAGTGTCAGAAGTAATAAATGAGCTCAGCAAGTCGGCAGAATACAAGACCAGTATACAAAAATCAACTGTATTTCTAAACATTAGCAATGAACAATCTGAAAATAAAATTAAGAAAACAATTTTATTTACAATACACTTCACAGAATAAAATGCTTAGGAATAAGTAACAAAAGAAGTACAAAGTTTACACTCTGAAAAGTATACAACATTTTTAAAAGAAATTCAAGATGACATAGGGATACCAATGAAAAGACAACCATGTTCATGGATTGGAAGATTCAATATTATTAACACCTTAATAATACTTAACAATATCTCCCATTAATTCATCTATGGATAAATGCAATTCCTATCAAACTCCCAATGACTTTTTTTTAAAAAACAGAAATGGAAAAGTTGATTGTAAAAAACTCTTATTGAAATATAAGGAACCAATAATAGCCAAAACAATCCTGAAAAGAACAAAGTTGGAGGTCTCACACTTGTAGGTTTCAAAACTTCCTGAAAGCTAAAGCAATCAATCCAGGGTAGTACTGGCAAGCAGATAGACATATAGATAAATGCAATAGAACTGAGAGTCCAGAAATAAACCTTCACATTTATGGTCAAGTGATTTTCAATAAGGGTCCCAAGACAATTCATTGGTTAAAAAAAAAATACACACTTTTCAATAAATGTTGTGGAAACAACTGGATATTTATATTCAAAAGAATGAAGTTGGACTCATACCTCACACCATATGCAAAAATTAACTAAAAAATGGATCATGGGCCTAAATGTAAGGGTTAAAACTATAAAAATCTTAGAAGAAAACATGGAAGTAAATCTTCATGGCCTTGGGTTAGGCAATGGTTTCTTAGCTATGACACCAAAAATAAAACGACAAAGGAAAACAGATAAATTGACTTCATCAAAATTAAAAATTTTGGGTTGCAAAGGACACTATCAAGAAAGTGAAAAGCCTTGATCAGTTTGGCTTAGCGGTTAGAGCTTCGGCCTGTGGACCGAAGAGTCATGAGTCTGATTCCCGGTCAAGCACACGTACCTGGGTTTGCAGGTTCAATTCCCAGCCCTGGATGGGGTCATGTGGGAGGCAACCAATTGATGTGTCTCTCTCACATTGATGTTTTTCTTTCTCTTTCTCCCTTCTTCCCTTCCACTCTATCTAAAAAATCAGTGGAAAAATATCCTTGGGTGAGGATTAACAAAAAATAAACAAATGAACAAACAAACAAAAAGAAAGGGAAAAGACAACCAATAGAATGAGAGAAAATATTTGCAAGTCATGTATCTGACAAGAGACTTGTTTTCAGACTATATAAGAAACTCTTAAACTTAATAATAAAAAACAAAATAGTCCAATTTAAAAATGGGCAAAGATCTGAATAGACATTTCTCCAAAGAAGATATACCAATGACCAATAAGCACATAAAAAGATTCTCATGGTCACTAATCATTAGGAAAATGAAATAAAAACCACAATGAAATACCACTTTACATCCACTAGGATGGCTAAAATAAGGCAGACAATAACAAGTGTTGGTGAGAATATGAAGAAATTGAAACCTTTATATACTGCTGCTGGGAATGTAAATGGTGCAGCCACTTTGGAAAACAGTTTGGAAATTCCTCGGATAGTTAAACATAGGCTCAGCAATTCTACATCTAGATATATACCCAAGAGAACTGAAAACACATGTTTACACAAAAATTTTATAGGGACATGCACAGCAGCATTATTAATAATAGCCAAAAAGCAGAAACAACACATAATGCCTATCAGCTGATGAATGGACAGACAAACTGTGGCATATCCTTTCATTCAGCCGTAAGGAGTGAAATGCTGAAATATGCTGCAACATGGGTGAATTTTGAAAACACTGTAAGTAAAAGAAACCACAAAGACCACATATTGTATAATTCATATTGTAGGAAATGTCCAGAATAGGCAAATCCATGAAGACAGAAAATAGATTAATGGTGGCTAGGTCTGTGGGGAGAGAGATGGGGAATGACTGGGGAGTTCCTTTCTGGGGTAGTGAAAATACCAGAAATTCGATAGTGGTGATGAATACACAACTTTGTGAATACCCCCAAAATGACTGAATTACACATTTTAAAATAATGGTCTTTATGATATGTGAATTATATCTCAATAAAGCTGTTATTTTTTTAAAATGTTGCTGTTATTTTTTTAAAATGTTATTTGTTGGGTTAAGTTTTCTAGGCATTTCTCGGAAATCCACCCCATCCCCTTACATTTGAGGGAGGGAGGAGATTCCTTTGCTTGAGCAAGCAGAGCTATGGTGTGGGAGGTGACGGTGGTGGCAGGAAGGACAAATGGGAGTAGTAATTACCATAGCATGGTTCGGGAAGAGCTTTACAGTTTTCAAAGCTTTTCTTAGCTTTCGAAAGTGTTTTCTTGGTCATCATTTTATTTAATTCTCATAACAACGCTCAGACAGATGGGAAACTAAGGCTCACAGAGGGACAGTGTCGCCAGCTCAGTGCCAGAGCCCTCACCCCTTCACTCTCCAGGATGGGTGAGAGCCAAGGACACCCCACCTGGGATGGGGCAGGGCCCTGGGGACGCACCAAAAAGAAAGAGGACCAGGACACCTGTCTTTTCCATGAGCTTCTGGAAGAGCAGCTTGCACCTGGAAGACAGAAGTGGGGATCAAGGTGAGGCAGACCAGCCCCTGCCTGGCCTTCGGCTCTTTCCCACCCTGAGGAAACGCTCCTCTGGGCAGTGACACACTCTCCAACCTGCTGGCCATGTTCATGGCTCCATAGCATCACAGAGGAAAGAAAGCTCTTATCCCCACATTTGGAGTCATCAGAGATCAGCTCACGGGGGTCACCATGTCCCATCACTCCCTGTCTCCATCTACATACTGTTCGTTCCCTCCTGCCTTCTCTCTTGGTGAGCATCCTTCGGGGTTCAGCTCAAATATCCTCTCCTCCTACAACCTCCAGACTCACACTTTTTTGGTGTCTGCCTTCCCCACCCAACTGGGAGCTCCTGATTGGTGGGAGCCAAGGCTGAGCCCAGACCCCACATTAAGGAAACATTTATAATGTAAGCTTCAAGTGAATGAAGGAGGTGGAAGGCTCTTCAGGAATTCAGAGGAGTCTGCAGGGTCAGGAAGGGTAAAGGGAAGGGGTGGGGTGGGATGGGCATTCCGGGCAGGAGGAACAGCATGTGCAAAGGTGTGGTGGTGAATAGAAAGAATGGGTCCAGGGAGTGAGAACCCAAGCCTTGTTGGCCCAATGAGCCCACAGCAGGATGCCGAATAAGGGAAGTTCAGAAAGAAAGGGTGGGGCAGGATTTCAAAGGGCTGCAGGCCCTTTGGGGAGCTACAGTAGGTTCTGGGGTGAGGGGATCTGATAAAAGCCAGGTGTGAGATAGCTTATCTGGTCTGGCGACCAAGGGGAGGTTCAAAGTAGTGAGAGGGCTGCCCTGGTTACCAGGTGCATGGTTCCAGCCCCCATCACCTTTCCCTCACCTGCCTTTGCTCACCTGAAGGTGTTGAATAGAACTTGGTGGACTTGAGTCCTCAGGAAGCAAGCCAGGCAGGTCATCCAGGCTGCAGAGAGGACAGAAGACCAGTGAGTAGTTGCACCCTTGTTCTTATTCTACAACCACTTGCTGACTTCCCTAGGGTTGGGGAAGACGAGCTGGGAGATCCCCTCAACTTGCTGGTTGAGCCCAGGGTAACCCTGCTCTGTTTATGGGTAAATGCCATCCTGGAGTGAGTATGAGTCCTATAGATGAGTCCTGCTTGCAATCGGCAGTTAATAGATACTTAATAGTGTCACAGGAGCACAAAGAAGTCTAGGATGTGTGAATGCCCATTCCTAGACACCGGGAGCTTCTCAAGGACAGAGCCCTTGTCTGGTTCATCCCGGGTGCCCAGCATTGCCCAGCGTGGAGTTAGGCAAAAAGTAGGAAATCAGGACAGATGAGTAGGTGGGAAGTTACACAGATGGGTGGAAGAATGGGTAAGAGAATGGTTTAGAAGATGGATGAATAGAAAGATGGCTGAGAGGATGGGGGAATGAGAGGAAGGGTAGAAGGATGGATGGGTGAATGACTGACTGGATGTGGATACTAACAAATAACGGTATGGGTGAATATGATCTTATCAATAGATGCTGGCAAAGCATTTGACAAAATCCAGCACCCATTTCTTATAAAAAAGCTCAGCAATGTGGGAATAGAGGGATCATATCTTGACAGAATAAAGGCCGTATATGAAAAACCTACAGCCAACATCATATTCAATGAACAGAAACTAAAAGCATTTCCCTTAAGAACAGGAACAAGACAAGGATGCCCACTTTCACCACTCTTATTTAACATAGTACTGGAAGTCTTAGCCACAGCAATCAGACATGAAGAAAGAATAATAGGGGTCCAAATTGGAAAGGAGGAAGTGAAACTGTCATTATTTGCAGATGACATGATATTGTTCATAGAAAACCCTAAAGCCTCCATCAAGAATCTACTAGATTTAATAAAGGAGTTTGACAAAGTAGCAGGATACAAAATTAACATCAAGAAATTGATGGCATTCTCATACACCAACAATGAACTTAAAATTTAAAAAAAATTCCATTTATAATTGCAGCAAAAATATTAAGATACCTAGAAATCAAATTAACCAAAGAAGTCAAGGACCTCTTCACAAAAAACTACAGGTCATTGAAATAAAAAAGTGGAAGCCTATACCTTATTCATGGATTGGAAGAATTAACATCATTATAATGTTCATACTACCCAAAGCAATCTATAGCTTCAATGCAATCCCCATCAAAATACCAGCAGCATATTTCACAGAACTAGAACAAATACTCCAAAAGTTTCTATGGAACCAAAAAAGACCCAGAATAGCCACAGCAATCTTGAAAAAGAAGAACAAAGTAGGAAGAATCACAGTACCGTATATCAGGTTAACTACAAAGCCACTGTAATCAAAGCAGCCTGGTACTGGCACAAGAACAAGCACATAGATCAATGGAACAGAAGAGAGAACCCAGAAATTGACCCAAGATATTATGCTCAATTCATATTTGACAAAGGTGACAAAAGCATATAGTGGAGTAAAGACAATAAGTGGTCTTGGGAAAATTGGACAGCTACATGCAAAAAAATGAAGCTAGACCACCAACTTACACCATACACAAGAATAAAGTAAAAATGGATAAAAGACTTATATGTGACTTGTAAATCCATAAAAATCCTAGAAGGAAATGTTGGCAACAAAATTTCAGACATCACACGCAGCAGAATTTTCACTGATACAATGCCTCAGGCAAGAGAAACAAAGGAGAAAATGAACACACGGGACTACATCAAACTAAAAAGCTTCTGCCCAGCAAAGGAAACAACCATCAAAGTGGAAAGGGAACCCACTCTATGGGAGAGCATAATTGCCAATGATATATCAGATAAGGGGCTAATTTCCAAAATATATACTCATACAACTCAACCAAAGGAAGACAATAAATCCAATTTAAAAATGGGCAAAAGGCCCTGGCCAGTTTGGCTCAGTGGTTGGAGTGTCGGCCTGAGGTCCAGAGAGGCCCGGGTTCGGTTCCCGCTAAGGGCATGTACCTTGGCTTCAGTTTGTCCCTGGCCCTGGTTGGGGTTGTGTGGGTGGCAATCACTCGGTGTGTCTCTCTCACATGGATGTTTTTCTCTCTTCCACCCCCCCCCCCCAATCTGAAGATTAAATGCAAAAGTGTCCTCGGGTGAGGATAAAAAAAAAAATCGGCAGAGGACCTGAATAGACACCTCTCCAAACAGGACATACAAATGGCCAAGAGACATATAAAAAAATACTCAACCTCACTAATCATCAGAGAGATGCAAATTAAAATAATGAGGTATCACCTCACACCTGTCAGAATGGCCGCCATCAACAAATCATCAAACAAGTGCTGGCGAGGGTGTGGAGAAAGGAGACTCTGGTACACTGCTGGTGGGAATGCAGACTGGTGCAGTCACTATGGAAAACAATATGGTGTTATCTCAAAAAGTTAAAAATTGAACTGCCTTTTGACCCAGTGATCCCACTTCTAGGAATATACCCTAAGAAGCCCGAAACACCAATCAGTAAGAATATATGTGCCCCTATGTTCATAGCAGCACTATTTACAATTGCTAAGATCTGGAAGCAGCCCAAGTGTCCATCAACACATGAGTGGGTAAAAAAGCTGTGGTACATATACACAATGGAGTACTATGCAGCTGCAAGAAAGAAAGATCTCTTATCCTTTGAGACGACATGGAGGGATCTGGAAAGTATTATTCTAAGCAAAACAAGCCAATCAGAGAAAGACAAGTATCACATGATCTCACTTATTTGCAGAATATAATGAACAAAACAATCTGATGAACAAAATAGACCCAGAGACATTAAAGTAGGGTACAGACTGACAAACCTCAGAAGAGGGGGTCGGGGGAGGGAGGGAAGAAATAAACCACAGAACTTATATGCATGTATGTGTAACCAATGGACATAGACAACAGTGCTGGGGACAGGGTGGGGTGGGGTGCTCAGGAGGAGGGTGTCAATGGGGGAAAAAGGAGAAACATCTGTAATAAAAATAAATTAATAAAAAAATTAAAAATTAAAAAAAAAAAGTATGGGTGAACTAATAGATGACTCGGTGAATGGATGATGAAGGACCTAATGGTATGCATGGATATAACAACAGCTGGATACGTGGACAGATGGTTGGATACATGACTTTGTAAATGAATAAGTGGAGGGGTGGGTGGATGAACATAGAAGTAGAAGACCAATCCTTAGGTGGTCTGAAATGAGGGTGAGTTGCATCAGATCATTCCCATGAATTCACCAGTGTTCTTGACCCAGTGGCCAGGCTGGTGTCAGAGGAGGGGAGGGCTGGCAGTTAGCTCCTCCTCCAGACTGCAAGTCTCCCTCATACTTCTTCTCTCCAACCATCAAAGGGATCCTGGCTGGAATGACCTCTCACACCTCTGACGGGAAGACCTCTGGAGCTCAACCTGTAGTCCCTCCCTCTCCTGCAACCCAATGCAGGCTTACCCCCTCCCCCCAAGTCAGCCTGGCCTGAGGGGCTCTTCAGTATATACGTACATATACATCCCAGTGTGAACTGAGTCAGGCCTGGGGATGGGGCAGTGAGACGGAGTGGCAGCAGGAAGGCATCATCTGCAGAGAACACAGGGCTGTCAAGTCACTGCTGGCCTGTGGGACACGGTGCCTGCAGACACCTGGGGACCACCCAGAGCTTGATGTGAGCATCCCTGCCCTGTGCCCTGCCCCTTGTCAGATGACCCTAGATTGCCCATCTGACATCTCTGAGCCTCAGCTCCTTGCTGCCCGTGAAGACCCCAGGGCTCCCCCTTCCCCTCCCAGCTTACTCATATTTGTTGAGGACTCCTCTGTCCTGCTGGGGATCCGGCTTCGTTGGGTGACCCTGGAGCCAACAAGATTCACAATGGCATTTTACACTTTACGAGGAACGTGGTCCCCATGTTCCAGAATGAGGAACTGAGTTGCAGAGAAGTCTGCCCAAGACCCTCACTGTGAATAGGGACAGACCAGGGTCTGCTGACCCCAAATCCAGGTGCAACACTGTGCTCCCAGCACTCTGCCCAGTGCCTGGCACACAGTAGGAGCTCAATAAACACAGGCTGAAAGGGTGACTGCTCCCTCACTTGCTGGCAGGAAGGCCTGTCAAACCTCTCTGACCTTGGTTGCTGCATCTGTAATGTGCAGGTGGTAATGCCTGCTCTCCTCCGAGGAGAGGGCAGAGGGGCAGCATTTTGTAAACTGTAAAGGGCTGGGCAGAGGGAGGGGCAGCTGCCCTCACCTCCTGGGCCTGGGATCCCTGTGGGGGTGGGCCACATCTTCAGGTGGGTCACATGGGTCCCTGGGGCTCCTTGAGGACCGTGGCATTGATTTCCTTCTCTAGGACAGGGACTGGTGGTGGGGCTCTCTGGGAGTTGGCCAGGGCGAACTGGCTGCTTCCACAGTCTCCCAGCGTACTCTGAAAGGTGCCAGGCGGAATCTGCCCAGGTCAGGCCGAGCTGTTGGCACTGTGACCTCACAGAGCGGGTGTGGGGGTTGGGGGTCTGCCTAGTCTCCAGCTTGGCCCTGGAACTCCCTCACGGAGGAACCCACTCTGGCCCACTTTCCACTTTTAAGATGGGGAAATGAAGGCCTCAAGACAGGAAGGGTGCTGCAGGGGTCTTGGGGGCGGGGCAGGGGCGAGAGCCCAGGCTGCAGAGTCCAGACTGCGCTCGTTCTTGCTGCAAACCCCTTCTCGCCCCACGTGCCCCAGGCCTGCCTCTTTCTTCTTTTCTCTTCTTATTGATTTTAGAGAGAGAGGAAGGGAGAGGGAGAGAGAGAGAAACACCAATGAGAGAGGACATCGATCGGCCGCATCCTGCATGCCCCCTACTGGGGATCAGGCCCACAACCTGGGCATGTGCCCTGACCAGGATTCGAACCTGCGCCCACTTGCTGCATGGGTCGACGCTCAGTCACTGAGCCACACCGGTCGGGCTGGCCTGTTTCTTTCTCAGGCTGTATCTGAATACATTTTATAATGCTGAGCGTCTCACTGGTGAGCGTTTTGCATACTACGAAATAATGTATGTGTGTTGTTGTTGTTTTAATCAATTTCTATTTTTTACTGGGGAAAAACAGTGGCATAATAGAGTAGAAGTGTCTGGTTACATTGTTTTCCCTGTCAGCCCTGCCTGTGGAGAGGGCCTATTTGGATTGTGAAGCTGAAATGAATTTGCTTTGCCCCCCTGGTGGCCGTTGCTCAAATTGCAGGCTGAGTATCTGGTGAGCAGAATAATTGTCTCTTAAAGAGGCCTGTGCACTCAAACTTCAACACGTGAATGTGTCGGGTATCATACAAAGGGGAATTAAAGCTTGCGGATGGAATTAAGTTTGCTAATCAGCTGGCCTTGAGATGGGAGAATATCCTAGATTATCCAGCTGGGCCCATGTCATGACAAAGGTCCTTATAAGTGGAAGAGGAAGGCAAGAGAGGAGAGAGGTGGCATTCAACCCAGCTTGCCCGCTTGGAAGATGGAGGAGGGGCCGTGAGCTGAGGAACTCAGGCAAGGAAACAGACTGTCTTCTAGAGCCTCTGGAAAGGAGCAAAGCCCTGCCAATACCCTGATTTAGTCCAGGGAGACCCAGTTTGGATTTCTGACCTCCAGAACTGTAAGATAATTTGTGTGCGAAGTACGAAGTTTGTGGTAATTTGTTGTAGCAGCAACAGGACACTAATACAGTACCCTCCAGAATATCTAGTGAGCGCTGGCCAGTGTGACTCAGTTGGTTGGAGCGTTGCACCAAAAAGGTGGCGGGTTCGATCTCCACTCGGAGCAAGTGTGGGAAGGCAACTGATCAATGTTTCTCACCTCTCTCTCGTCTCTCTCTTTATATGCACACATATATAATCTTCCTTTCTCTAAAATCAATTAAAAAAGTATACTTTGGGAAGCGGAAGCCCTGAAGTGTTGCATTATAATTGTTACAAGGGTCTTACAATGCACACTCATTTATTAATTCAACAAATCCTTATTAAGCACCTGGTCTGTCCCTGGCACTAGCTGCGGGGGTGAGCGGAGCCAGCCCCATCGCTGGGCACGAGCGTGAAGGCCGGACCCCACACACAGCAGGTGCCACGGATGGTGCTTGCCACGCTGTAGGGAGGAGGGGCTGGTGAGAATCTCTCTCTTTTGTGCCTACTGGCTGTCCCTCGATGTCCCTGTGCCGGAAATACTGAGGAAGAGGAAGTGTTCACGCTAACAGCAAACACTGAGAGTGGCTTCAGTCAATATTTGTGCCCCTGTCCACTGAGTCTGCTGTTTGTCTCCGCTACGGCGAGGGCCAGGAGGGCTGGTCTTATGCACTGGCAAGCACACTGCGGCTGGGAGTAGGGGGTGAGGAGTGGGCAGCTGGCTCGGCTCATTCCTTTCTGCCTACAGAATAGGACGGGAGCACTGGCTGGAGGTAGGGCCGGTTCCACGGGAGCTCTGGCCTCTTGGGAGAGCTTGATGGTGTCTGTGGACTCTGTCAGTTCTGTGGGCTCTAGTGGGGACCCAGCATAGAGTGGATCTGGGCTCTGGGCCTGGTATTCGGGCTGATATGGAGCCAGTGGGAACCATGGAGGGCTCTAGAGTGGGGGAAGGCCCTGAGGTCCCTTGAACCTGTACCCCAGGTGAGCCATACAGAGAAACGAAGGGGCCTTCCCTGCAGTTACACCATCACCTCCTATATCCACATGTATGTACACACACAAACACACATACACCCCCAATGCCAGGAAACAGTCCACTATACACATGAACACATACACACATGCACTTAATACCATGTATACACAGACCCACAGACATACTCAGTATACCAGCCTACATATACATACTGTACACAGAACTCTTCATACCTGCACTCATGTTGGGTCATGTAAACAGAGCCTGGAGTTTGTAGTGTGGAAGGAAAGAATGGGCTAAATTCATTGTGAGTGGGAGTTGCTCTTGGAGAGAGTTTGGGGTGTTTACTGGAAATGGGGTCATCCACACCCTCTTGTCTGTCATCTTCTGAGCTAGGGCTCCATGTCTGATGAGGATCAGGGCTTAGACTATGACCAGGGTCAGTGCCCATGGCGTGACCAGGACCAGGGCTCAGCCTGTCCCTGGGCTGGGGCTCAGGCAGCCTCCTGCTCCTCCTAAGAGGGTCATGTTTCCGGGCCAGCTTGGAGGCACCAGGCCCAAGAGGGTACTACAGCCATCACCCTGACTTCCAGCGTTCCCTCCCTCCTGGGCCTGGCCAGGCCTGGCTGGGGTGATGAGGGGACCCGACTGGGAGCAGACCTCCTTCCGGAGATCTCCTGCCCTTCGAGGCCCCAAAGCCGCCCAACCCCAGGGTCTCGCGGGGCTGGCAGCCAGGCCAGGCTACGTGGCAGTCCCACTGCCCCTGTGGGATAAGGAGCTTTGGCACCGGCCGTGTTTGCAGGGAAAACACTTGCAACCACAAGCAAACCTGTCCCTCCCCAGTCGCTTCCCAGTAGGTCCTGCATACCAGGAGCCTTATAAAGCGGCTCCACACCGGCCTGGGGCAGATGAGGACTTGGTTGGGCTGCCAGTCACCTGTTCAAGGAACTGCCTGAGGTAGGGCTGGAACTCTTCCCAGGAAAAACCTCGACTTTTCCATCTGTTCAATGGGGATACTGCTTTTAGCCACCTTCTGCAGAAGGGCCCATCCCTGGTTTCGCTGTGGGACTCTGGGGACGTGCTCCCCATCAGGACTCAGTTAGCCCATCTGAGCAGTGGCCCCTCCTTCCCACCTAGCTCCCTCTTTCTGAGTTGGACACAGATCTGCCCACTCGGCTGGGCTGGGTTGGGAGGGGTGAGGGGGTGGTGAAGAGGCTCACTTTCTGGATATTCCTTACCTGGCACAGGATGAGATGAGGACAGGAGCCATCCCAGCTGTTCCCCTGGGTTTGAACAACTGGACCCCAGAATGGGCCGTCACACTGTGCTGGACTCCTGGCATCAGGTGACACAGCCTTGGGCCCAGGGCTGGTGGGCCTGGGCTTCAGTCTCCCTATCTGGGAGTCTCGTCCTCCTCCGGCGAGGCTTGGGTCTTGCACTGGCCTGAGTTTGCTGTGTGGCCTTAGGCAAAGCCATGTCTTCTCTGGGCCTAGGGGCCAGATCCCTCCTGGTTCCTGACCAAGCAGGCAGGGGAAGGGGATTCTGTCCCCGTGCAGAGGTGCAAACTGTGTGTGGGCTGGGGCAGGGCTGGGATCACCACTCAGGGCTTTTAACTCCAGGCTGGGGTGGGGAACACTTCTGGACAAGCTCCCTGACCTTGTCCCCACTCCAGCCCACAGATTTTGGGGGGCAGAGACCAGGACTGCCATGGCTCAGGTATGTAGGCTGGGCCTGCTGCTGGCGCTGCTGCTGCCCGTGGTCGGTGCCTCCGTGCCGGGCACCGTGGTCAGACTCAACAGGGCCATGCTGAGCTACGGTAAGAGCCGTGCCGCTGGGCTGTCCCGCGTATGTCTGCAGGAGCATGTGCGGATGAGTCCATGTCAGCATGTGTGAGCGATCCTAAGTGTGCGTGTGCATCTGGGAAGTCAAAGCCCCCGAGGGCCCAGATCTTATCTGTCACCATGTCCCTGGCTCCCAAGCAGTTTCTGACACAAGGCTGCTCAACAAATATTTGTAGGTGAATACATGAGTGGGGGTGCAGGTTGTGTCCAACATGCAGGTGTGCCGGCATGATTGTGCTCACGGGCTTAAGTGGGGTGGGCGTGGGTCAGTGTGAGCGGTTACTTTGGCCTGTGTGTCTGTGTGTATGTTAGAAAATTCGTGGAGATGTGCCCACACGTGTGCTGGAGCGTCGGGTGGGTGCCTAATGATGGGCATGTGTGCAAATGCCTTGGTGCATGGCAGAGCGTGTACAGGCATGGCTGCACTCCCGGGGTGTACATGTGTGTTCACGAGGGGTGTCTGTGTGCACATGTGTGCTGGGGAAGGCACGTCCAGCACGGTACCGGGGAGTGTCTGGAGTTAGACGCTGCTGGGGCCCAGTGAGAAGAACCAGCCTCTCCCCAGCCCAGCCTGGGCCTCTGTCATGACTCGGCTCCGTCCCCTGGGGAAGGCACAGTGAGGAAACCTGGGCCCAAGGAGGGACAAAAGCTGTCCCCCCAGCTGCCCCTGGGAGGCTTTTGAGGTCTCAAAGCTGGGTTAGGGGTGAAAAATCAGAAGCTGTTTCCCCCGAGGCCAGACCAAACTCAGAGTACAGTGTGAGGGACTCAGGCCAGAGAGTAGAAGGGACTTTCAGTGGCCCTTCTGGAAGCAGGAGGCGGTGGCTCAGGGAAGCAGCAGGGTCCCTTGGTACACACACAGCTTTCCAGGGTCTTGTATCCGGGCAGATTGGCAGGCGATGAAAGGGGTCAGTCATCCATGTTAGTTTACTGGCACATGGGACCAGGCACGAAGCCTGCAGGCAGGGACACAAGGTCACTGCCCTCCACGGTCCCCTTCTCTCCACCTACCCCATGTGAATCTTCTTTGTCCCGGAGAGTCCTCCAGGTGCACCTGCCCGTGTTTGTTCTTGGCGGAAATATGGCAGGAGGCCCATGTTCCTCTCTCTGAGGCCAGGCTGGGTAGCTTCTTCGCAGGCCTCCAATCTCCTTCTGAAAGCCCCAGAGTTCAAGCCCTGGGTGCAGGAGTGGTGTAGACAAAGTCCAGAGGTCTGGGTGTGAGTCTCGGCCCAGCCACAGATGGTCAGGCTAAAGAGAGGGCCATTGGGAACGTAGAGACCACCGCCTTTATGCTTGGGTCTGGGGAAACTGAGGCCCAGCGAGGCCAGGGACTTCCCCCGGTCCCACAGTGAGTCTGAGTGGGGTTCGGGCCCTCGACCTCTCATCTGATGCTCTCTTGCAGACCATCACCTCTCTTTTAACTCAGCACCTCCCTTGGCCCGGCAGTTCAGGTGTGTGGGGAAATCCAAGGGCCCTGGGAGCCAGGTGCCTCGGCCTAGATCTGACTGCTCCTTGCCAGGCGTCCTCATGTCTTGGCAAACTGGGCATAAATAGTACCCACGGCCTAGAGTTGTGAAGAACAGGGTACAAAGGAGGCTCTATAGAATAATGGCCACTGTTGTCACAAAAATAAACAGCAACAGGGAGAGCTAACGTTAATTGTGCACCAAGTCATTATAAGGACGCTATGTGATGGGTACCTTTGTAATCACTGCAAATTGATAGGTAGGGAAACTGAGGCACAGAGCAGGGATTTGCATCCAGAACCTGAGAGACTCCAGAGCCCTCAGTTCCCAGACCCCTCATCCTTATTTGATTGGGGCCCCCCCTATGCTTGGGGTCTTGGGGAGGCTCCAGAGGTGGGACCCCATGAGATTCTTGGAAAAGGGCAAAGGATGCTATTGTTTCTGAGGAGCAGGTAGACAAGTAGGATTTAGAGAGGGGGGTGAGGGGAGAGAGAGAGGCAAGGCCTGGTGTGAGAAGTACACCAAGGAGGACTCGTGGGGAGTCACCTGGCCCCCGTGCACCTGGTGACAAGCCTGCCCCTTCCAGTCTCTGAGACCTTTCCACTGTGTCTGCCCCGCAGTGTCTGAGATGGGGAAAGCCCCTCTCGAGTGGGCCCTGAAGGTCACTGTCCCACATTTCCTGGACTGGAGTAGAGAGGAGCTTCATCCTACCAGGTGAGTGCTCCCCTCCTCCAGATCAGGTGCTCCTGTCCCCAGGTGAGTGCTCCCCTCCTCCAGATCAGGTGCTCCTGTCCCCAGGTGAGTGCTCCCCTCCTCCAGATCAGGTGCTCCTGTCCCAGGTGAGTGCTCCCCTCCTCCAGATCAGGTGCTCCTGTCCCAGGTGAGTGCTCCCCTCCTCCAGATCAGGGGCTCCTGCCCCAGGTGAGTGCTCCCCTCCTCCAGATCAGGTGCTCCTGTCCCCAGGTGAGTGCTCCCCTCCTCCAGATCAGGTGCTCCTGTCCCCAGGTGAGTGCTCCCACCTGGTAGGTGCGTGCTCTCGTCACTGGGAAAAATGAGTCTGTCGGGAGTGCTCCCTCATCAGGGTACACACTCCCACCTATTAGGTGAGTGGTCACAAGAGGATTTAGATGGGACCAAGGTGGAGATACAGGGAATGGTGCCTCTGAATTGGTAGATTTCTGGCCCTATGGACCAAGACTGTGGCCCCTGGTCCTCCAGGACTGGCAGGACTCTTTGCTACTTCCTCCAAAAGCTAGACTCTGAATTTAATGTCTGAATCACCTCCCCTCCGCCACTACTGTGTGGGGAAAAAAATGACTTTCATTTAGAAAAATAAATAAATCATAGGTTAGTTGCAAAGCGCTTAGCAATCAGAACAGACAACTTTGAAGGGAGTGAGTTTTCCATTGCTGGGGGGCTACAAGTCAAAGCTGTTGAGTAGAAGGGTGTAGAGGGAATTTCTGCCTTCTGTGGATTTTGGAAGGTTTTTTTTCCCCAGACCTCAGTCAGACACTAAAATCCCTCCAGGGCCTGAGAAATCATCTCACCCAATCCCTGTCCAGTGCTAGGGTCCTCTCTGTATCTTTTCCCTACAAACTGGTTGTCCATACATGGCTTGCATGCCCCCTATGATGGAGAACTCACTGCTTCTTCCTCAGTTCATCTTTCCCATTGTCAGAAAGTTGTTGTTTACACCTCGGCAGTGTGGATCTGGATGGGCTCAGGGTGCCCACCCCAGAGTTGATTTCATGGTTTCATGGGAGCTGTCTTGTCACCTCCACTTCTACCCTGCAGGATCCAGATTGTGAATATCCATGTACCTCGCCTTCAACTGAACTTCATTGATGGTTTTGGGGTACGTTTGTTTGCAGCAGCCAATTTTACTTTCAAAGTCTTTCGGTGAGTAAATGTCCTTGTTGCAGGGGGCGGGCAGGAGGATTTTCAGGGACAGAGCATTTCACTTCTCCAAACCTCAGTTTTCACCTCTGTAAAATGGGGTGAGTCTTTGAAGCAAGGCTATGAGGGTTGCAGCAAATGGATTCATTGCTGTAATTGAAATTGCATCCCCTGTTTCATAATGCAAGGCACATAACAGGTGCTCAAAAAATGTAGCTATTAGAATTATTTCTGTGCAGAATTATTTGTGTCAAACTATGAGCTGGGCCTTCAGAGGGACCTCTTATTTTAATTTCTCTGTCCTGAAACTACCATTTTATTAGTGCTCACTGTGTGCCAGGCTCCAGACAGGGTGTTTTCACATGACTACCTCACGGAAAACTCGGCACAGCCCTGTAATCTAGGTACCGATAATCTTATGTCCACTTTACAGAAGAGTAAACTGAGGCTCAGCACAGGGAATGACTGGCCCAGGGTCTTGCAGTGAGAGGGTATGGGGAGCTGGAGTTCATACCTAGCCACTGTAATGTCTGTGGTCCTGAGTGGAGTTCGGGGGACTCAGGTGGAGTCATCTCATGCAAGTAGGGGTCCTGCCTATGTCAAGTGGGGGGCAGGCTTGGGCTGGGGATTTACAGGATCTTGCATTGGTCAGCATGGGCTCTGCTGGGTGGTACTGCTGGGGTTCAAGACTGTCATCTCTGTAGAGTCCCAGCACCCCTGGAGCTAATCCTGCCGGTGATACTGATGGCTGATGCCCGTGTGGCCCAGGGCTCCATCGGGACCCCCGTGGTCAGCATCTCCTCCTGCTTCTCATTCTTCAACAATGCCATTGTGGTAGATGGCAGTCACAGGTGGGTGCCTGGGCTGTGGTCATTTCTTGAGCCTCCTACTCAAGCCTTCATCCAGTTGCCACAATGGGCCTAGAGACCCCCAGTATTACACCTGTCTTATGGCTGAGTACACTGAGGCTCAGAGAGGGGGAGGGATTTGCCTGGGGCCGCACAGTGAATATGCAGCCTGTGCCCTTGTCCCTCCCACTGCCCAGCCCTGTGCCATGTGACAATGCACGCGCGCGCACACACACACACACACACACACACTATTTTTGAAAGGATTCTGGGCGGATGCCTCTGTTAGGGACTTCAGAGGGCTGCCCCTTCTTGCAGGGGGTTGGCACCCGCCAAGCTCTCACTGTGTCGGGCGGCCCTTCCATGTCCTCCTCTAAAGCTAACAGCAGCTCCCACCTCCAGAGCCCCTGCCGTGTGCTGAGTGCGGTCCAGGCCCTTTCTGAGCATTGTCTCACAGTTGTCTCTCTCTCTCTCTCTCTCTCTCTCTCTCTCTTTTTATTAATCCTCACCTGAGGATATTTTTCCATTGATATTTTATTTATTTATTTTTATCCTTACCGGAGGACATTTTTCGTTCAGATAGAGTGGGAGGGAGAGAGAGGAAGAGAGAGAGAAACATCGACGTGAAAGGGACACATCTAGTGGCTGCCACCCACACGACCCATCCAGGGCCGGGGACAAACTGCAACCGAGGTATGCGCCCCTAGTGGGAACCGAACCCAGGTCTCTCTGGACCACAGGCTGAAGCTCTAACCACTGAGCCAAACCGGCCAGGGCTCCATTGATATTTTAGAGTGGAAGGGAGGGAATGGGGAGAGAGAAAGAGAGGGAGAGAAATATTGATGTGAGAGAGACACATTGATTGGTTGTCTCCCGCACGACTCAACTGGGGCTGGGATTGAATCTGCAACCCAGATACGTGCCCTTGACCGGGAATCGAACCTGACTCTTCAGTCCTTGGGTGATGCTCTAACCGCTGAGCCAAACCGGCCAGGGCATAGTAATCTTACCAGGAGGGTGTAAGTATTTCCCTCATTTTACAGGAGAACAAGCTGAGGCACAGAGCAGTTAAGTGACTTGCCTAAGATCACACAGCTGGCAAATGGTGGAGTTCAGATTCCCACAACCCGACTAACTACTGCTTGTGAATCCCCTGCATTAGGTCTGCACCGTCCCACCTGTGGGCAGGGCTCGCTGTGAGGGGGTTGAGCATTCCAGACGGGATTTTTCCCCAGAGAAGAGTTGGGTATAAATTCTTTCATGCGTGTGTCCCATGATCGTCATGTGGAGCTCACACCCCTCACAGTCTTCACGGGTGCTGGCTGTTGTTCAAAGACATGGAAGTCCCGAGGTTGATGGCATTAAAAACACAAGCCATGCCCTGGCCAGTTGCCCAGTGGTTAGCATTGGCCTGCGCACCAAAGGGTCGCAGGTTTGATTCCCAGTCAAGGGCACGTACCTCAGTTACAGGTTCGATCCCTGGCCCTGGTCAGGGCTGTGTGGGAGGCAACCAATTATGTGTCTCTTTCACATGCACGTTTCGTTTTCTCTCTCTCTCCCTCCCATTTTCTCTAAAAATCAATGGAAAAAATATCCTCAGGTGAGGATTAACAAAAATAAATAAATAAACAATAAAAATATAAAAACACAGATGCTATTCTCCCAACTCCCCCGGAGACAATTGAGTGAGTTGGGCGGCAGCTTGGGTCAACATTTTAGCTGGTTTCCTAGGCATCCCTGTTGAAACACACCAGCTCAGACCCATCTACCATTGTTCAGAGGGGAAACCGAGGCCCAGAGTCAGGAAGGGACTTTGCTAAATGTGTCATGGAGAATTGGAGCCCAAGCAGGAAGCAGCCGGGCCTTGCTGGGCTCAGGGTGGACACGGGGCCAGCTGACCAAGCACATGGCGGGGCCCAACTTTTGCAATGCCCTCTCTCTGTCTCCCCCAAGCCTGGCCTCGTTTTCACGTCTCAGCCACTTCAAAGCCTCGAAACCAATGACTTCTTCCTTGAGGCTCGGTTTCCTCATCTGTGGGGACAATTGTGCCAGCACCATGTCCAGCCCAGTGCAGGGTGTGGAATGGGAATCTCTGGCCCCTGGCTGAGGGGAGAGACTTCTCTCCCAGACTGTGGCTTTGCAAAGGGGATGGGCCTGCATGCGCTGGCCTGGAGCTCAGGAGCCCTTCGTGTGTCTCCTCCTCAGCACGGCCCCCGCGCTGCTGGTCCTGGTGCAGCAACACATCAAAGCCGTGCTGCAGAACAAGGTAACGGGCATCCCGCGGGCCTCTGGGCAGGAGGGCATGGCTGTCCTCGGCGGGCGTGGTGACTGCAGGGCCACTGCAGCATGGCCACACTGCGATGCAATAGGCCCTTCGTGGGGCTCCTCCACGTGTCCCGTGACAGTGGGCAAGAGGCTGTGGCCATGGTCCAGGGCAGTGATGGGAGGGTCACACAAGGGTGGGTTTGGGGGTGGTAGGGGAGGGATATTCATTTTCTTGGGCCAGCCTCAATTTCATGGTAGAGGGTGGGATGGGGACCGTGCTTTCAGGGGCTAAAATGACAATGGAGCCAGATGTGGCCTGGGTTCGAATCCTGATTCCCCTTCTTCCCAGCTGTGATCCTTGGACAAGCTGCCTAACCCCTCTCTGCCCCCAATTCCACATCTGCAGAGATGGGCTGGTTGTGGGGTTAAGTGCACAGACGTCCATGAAGAGGTTGGGACAGTCTGGCAGTGTGAGTGATGCTGTCACTGTTACTGTTCTAGCTCTTGTCACTAGCTGTCTGTGGCTGACTCGGTGAGGGACTGTGCCCCAGGCTCCAGTGTCCCACTGACGGGGAGCCGGTTTCCATCTCTGCCCCTCTCTACTCCACCTCTAACTCCTTCAAGGGGCAATAGTAGAGACCAAGCCAACCCACGGCATGCCATCCCCCCGTCTTGCAGATGAGAAGACTGAGGTTCGAGTGCTAAAGGCAGCACAGCCTCACCTGGCCCTCTCTTCCGCCTCCTGGCCATGCTGGCCCAGCCTCACCAGCTCTGGCCTGGATAGGCAGTGACCACGCCCGGCCTTGCAGTCTCTCCTCTGCTCCTCCTTCTGTCACAGTGACCTCAGCTCAATACGCTTCTCTGGCTGCCCACTGTGCCCGGGAGAACACCAATGTCCCCGGCCTGGCTTGCCGACCGCTGCCCTTCTCCACTGCGGGTGGTGGCATCCTTCCTCTGATGCAGCAGGCCCCGCCCAGGCCACCTCTGCTGTGTCCCACAGTCCTGTTCTTTCCTCGATACCTGTGGGCCCCAACTTCCCCTCTGACTTCCCAGTGTCCAGAGGAGGTGCCTGTGGATGCCCACTGGTGGTGGCAGAAGGAAGGGATCCCAAGCCTTGGTGTCCAGTGTCGGGGAGGCTTCCAGACAGGAACCCTAGACCTTCCCACACTCGCTCCCTCCACCCTGAACCCCGCCCTAACCCTCCTCCTCTGTCTTGGTGCAGCTGTGTGTGAGCGTCTCCAACCTCGTGCAGGGCCTCAATGTCCACCTGGGAACTTTAATTGGTAAGACCTGGGAGTCCAGGGGGAGGTGGACGGGACCTCCGAGACCCTCTGAGGCCCCTAAGACCCTTCAAGTTTCCTGCCTCTGGATCAGGGTAGACCCCTGGGAGGCCAATTGTAAGATGACTGAACAATTATTGATGGCATCTGGGAATCTCAAAAATTCTAGAATGTCTTTGAATGTTTAGTGTGTGTGTGTGTGTGTGTGTGTGTGTGTGTAGGCGAGTACATGCAATTTGCAGTTGCCTCCCCCACTGCCTGGAGATTAAGAGACACCCTGCTCCCACGACTCCCGCATTCTTTGCTGGACTCTGCCCCTTCCCCTTTCAGGGCTCAGGCCCTTATATTCCATTTCCTCCTGGACACCTCCTCCTGGAGGTCCCACAGGCTCCTCCAACTCAGCATGCCCTCAGCAGAACTCAAGCTCTGCTCCCAACTGCCCTGCGGCTGTTCCTTCCTTAGGGCAACCACCACCCAGAGCAGCTGCCCGCCGCCCCGGGCTGTCCCACCTCTGGTTTTTCCAGGGGCCTCACTACCCAGGGAGTGCCAGAAGTACACTAGCAGAAGGCCCTGTCATAGACTAATCCCCAGGAACAGATCCCGAGACAAGGATTTTAGTGTAAGTGGCTCGGACGGGGTGGTTCTAGGAGGCACTGGTGGGGAGGTGAGCAGAGAGACGGGGAAGGCGTGTTAATGAGCAGGTGCTGTGGGCACCTGGGGCTCACTCCCCTTTATTGATTTTAGAGAGAGAGGAAGTAAGAAGGAGAGAGAGATAGAAACATTGATGAGAGAGATCATAGATTGGCAGCCTCCTGCATGCTCCCCACTGGGGATTTGGCCCACAACCTGAGCATGTGTCCTGACCGGGAATCGAATCGGCGACCTCTTGGTGCATGGGTCGATGCTCAACCACTGAGCCACACCAGCCGGACAAGGAGCTCTTTTTTTTTTTTTTTTTTAATTATTATTTATTTATTTATTCATTTATTTATTTATTTTTGTTACAGATGTTTCTCCTTTTTCCCCCTCTGATACTCCCTTCCCCTCCCTCCCTGCCCTGTCCCCAGCTTTGTTGTCCATGTCCATTGGCTATGCATACGTGCTTATAAGTTCTGTGCTTTATCCCCCCCCCCTTCTGGGGATTGTCAGTCTGTACCCCACTTCCACGTCTCTGGGACTACCTTGTTCTTCAGACTGTTATGTTCATTATATTCCACAAATAAGTGAGATCATATGATACTTGTCTTTCTCTGTTTGGTTTGTTTCACTTAGGATAATACTTTCCAGGTCCCTCCATGTCGTCTTAAAGGATAAGAGATCTTTCTTTCTTACAGCTGCATAGTACTCCATTGTGTATATGTACCACAGCTTTGTTATCCATTTGTCTATTGATGGACATTTTGGCTGTTTCCAGATCTTAGCTATTGTAAATAGTGCTGCTATGAACATGGGGGTACATATATTCTTTCTGATTGGTGTTTCAGGCTTCTTAGGGTATATTCCTAGAAGTAGGATCACTGGGTCAAATGGCAGTTCAATTTTCAATTTTCTTGTTATCCTCACCCAAGGAAATTTTTCCATTTTTTTGTTCAGGTGGAGTGGGAGGGAGAGAGAGGAAGAGAGAGAGAGAGCGAGAGAGAGCGAGAGAGAGAGCGAGAGAGAGCGAGAGAGAGAAAGAAACATTGACGTGAAAGGGACACATCGAGTGGCTGCCACCCGCACGACCTTTCCAGGGCCGGGGACAAACTGCAACCGAGGTATGCGCCCTTAGTGGGAACCGAACCCGGGTGTCTCTGGACTGCAGGCCTATGCTCTAACCACTAAGCAACTGGCTAGGGCCAATTTTTAATTTTTTGAGGTAACACCATATTGTTTTCCATAGTGGCTGCACCAGTCTACATTCCCACCAGCAGTGTACCATAGTATGTCCACTTTTCTCCACACTCTTGCCAACACTTGTTGTTTGATGATTTGTTGATGGTGGCCATTTTGACAGGTGTGAGGTGATACCTCATTGTTGTTTTAATTTGCATCTCTCTGATAATTAGTGATGTTGAGCATTTCTTCATATGTCTCTTAGCCATTTGTATGTCCTGTTTGGAGAGGTGTCTATTTAGTTCCTTTGCCCATTTTTTAATTGGGTTCTTTGTCTTCCTTTTGTCGAGCTGTATAAGCACTCTATCTATTTTGAAAATTAACCCCTTATCTGATGTGTCATTGGCAATTATGCTCTCCCATAGAGTGCGTTGCCTTTCCATTTCAGTGGTTGTTTCTTTTGCTGTGCAGAAGCTTTTGAGTTTGATGTAGTTTCATGTGTTCATTTTCTCCTTTGTTTCTGTTGCCTTAGGTGATGTATCAGTGAAAATTCTGCTGCATATGATGTCTGAAATTTTGTTGCCTACATTTTCTTCTAGGATTTTTATGGATTTATGAGTCACATTTAAGTCTTTTATCCTTTTTGAGTTTATTCTTGTGTATGATGTAAGTTAATGGTCTAGTTTCATTTTTGTGCATGTAGCTGTCCAATTTTCCTAATACCATTTATTAAAGAGGCTGTCTTTATTCCACTGTATGCTCTTGTCACCTTTGTCAAATATGAATTGAGCATAATGTTTTGGGTCCATTTCTGGGTTCTCTGTTTTATTCCATTGATCTATATGCCTGTTCTTGTGCCAGTACCAGGCTGTTTTGACTACAGTAGCTTTGTAGTATAACCTGATATTTGGTATTGTGATCCCATCTACTTTGTCCTTTTTATCAAGATTGCTCTGGCTATTCAGGGTCTTTTTTGGTTTCATATGAACTTTTAAAGTATTTGTTCTAGTTCTGTGAAGTATGTCGTTGGTATTTTGATGGGGATTGCATTGAATCTATAGATTGCTTTGGGTAGTATGGACAATTTAATGATGTTAATTCTTCCAATCCATGAACAAGGTATGTGCTTCCACTTTTTTATATCTTCCTCTATTTCTTTTTTCAATGTCCAATAGTTTTCTACAAATAGGTTCTTTATTTCTTTGGTTAATTTTATTCCTAGGTATCTTAATTTTTTTCCCGCAATGGTAAATGGGATATATGTTTTTTTAGTTTCTCTTTCTGTGAATTCATCATTGGTATATAAGAATGTCGTCAATTACTTGACATTAATTTTGTATCCTGCTACTTTGCCAAATTCATTTATTAAGTCTACTAGATTGTTGATTGAGTCTTTGGGGTTTTCTACGTATAATATCATCTCATCTGCGAATAATGACAGTTTCACTTCCTCCTTTCCCATTTGGATCCCTTTTATTTTTTCTTCCTGTCTGAGTGCTGTGGCTAAGACTTCCAGTACTATGTTAAATAAGAGTGGTGAAAGTGGGCATCCCTGTCTTGTTCCTGATCTTAAGGGAAATGCTTTTAGTTTTTGTTCATTGAGTATGATGTTGGCTGTAGGTCTTTCACATATGGCCTTTATTATGTCGAGATATGATTCCTCTATTCCCAAATTGCTGAGCGTTTTTATCAGAAATGGGTGCTAGATTTTGGTGAATGCTTTTTCAGCATCTATTTATATGTTCATACGATTTTTATCTTTCATTTTGTTTATGTGTTGTATCACATCTATTGATTTGCGAATATTGTACCAGGCTTGCATCCCTCAGATGAATCCCACTTTGTCATGGTGAATAAATTTTTTGATGTATTGCTGGATTCGATTTGCTAGTATTTTGTTCAGGATTTTGTTCATCAGGGATATTGGCCTGTAGTTTTGTTGTTGTTGTTTTTGTAGTGTCTTTTTCTGGTTTTGGAATTAGAATTATACTAGCCTCATAAAATGAGTTTGGAAGTCTTCCTTCTTCTTGAATTTTTTGAAATAGTTTGAGGAGAATGGGTATTAGTTCTTCTTTGAATGTTCGGTAAATCTCCCCCGTTTTACTCCCCCGTCCGAGCCTGGGCTTTTGTTTGCTGGGAGAGTCTCGATTACATCTTCAATTTACTTCGTTGTTATTGGTCTGTTCAAGTTTTCTATCTCTTCCTGATTCAGTTTTGGGAGACTATGTATTTCTAGAAATTTGTCCATTTTGCTTAGATTGTCGAATTTGTTGCCGTATAATTGTTCATAATATTTGTTAACAATCCTTTGTATTTCTGTGGTGTCAGTATTATTTTCTCCTCTTTCATTTCTGATTTTGTGTATTTGGGTTCTCTCTCTTTGTTTCTTGGTGAGTCTAGCTAAGGGTCCATCAATCTTGTTTATCTTTTCAAAGAACCAGCTCTTTGTTTCATTGATCCTTTGAATTGTTTTTTCAGTCTCTATGTCGCTTATTTCTGCTCTGATCTTTACTATTTCCTTCCTTCTACTTGCTCTGGGGTTTTCTTTTTGTTTGCTTTCTAGTTCTTTAAGTTGTGAGGTTAGATAGTCAATTAGAAATTTTTCTTGTTTCTTGAGGTAGGCCTGTAGTGCTATGAACTTCCCTCTCAGAACTGCTTTCACTGCATCCCATAGATTTTGTGTTGTTGTGTGTTCATTTTCATTGGTTTCTAGAAATTTTTAAATGTCTTCCTTGATCTCCATAGTAACCCATTCATTGTCAAATAACATGCTATTTAGCCTCCATGTTTTCAAATGTCTTTGCATATTCTTGTTGCAATTGATTTCTAGTTGTATGCCATTGTGATCTGAGAAGATGCTTGATATGATTTGAATCTTCTTGAACTTGTAGAGACTTAGTTTGTGCCCTAACATATGGTCTATCTTTGAGAATGTCTCATGTGCACTTGAGAAGAATGTGAATTCTGCAGTTTGGGGTGTAATTCTCTGTAAATATCTATTAAATCCATTTGATCTAGAGCTTCACTTAGAGTCTCTGTTTCCTTGTTAATTTTCTGTCTAGATGATCTATCCAGTTATGTCAGCAGGGCGTTGAAGTCCCCTGCTATGATTGTATTGCTGTTGATTTCTCCTTTGAAGTCCTACAGATTTTAAACATATTTTGGTGCTCCTATATTGGGTGCATATGTGTTCACCAGGACTATATCTTCCTGTTGGATAAATCCTTTCAATATTATGTAGTGGCCTTCTTTGTCTCTAGTTATGGCCTTCATTTTGAAATCTAATTTATTAGATATGAGTATTGCTACTCCAGCTTTTTTTTTCTTTCTGTTTGCTTGAAAGATTTTTTTCCATCCCTTCACTTTCAACCTATGTGAGTCTTTTGTTTTGAGGTGGGTCTCTTGTAAACAACATATATGTAAGTCATGCTTTCTTATCCAGTCAGCTACTCTGTCTTTTTATCGGAGCATTCAAACCATTTACATTTAAGGTGATAATTGATATGTACTTATTTATTGCCGTTTTTGTTTAGTATGGTTATATTTTTCTTCTTATTTCTTCTACTAATTACAACCGTCCTTTTAACATATCTTGCAGTGCTGGTTTGGTGCTAATATATTCCCTTAGCCTTTTTTTTTCTTTATTTGACCTTCTATTTTGAATGATCGCCTTGCTGGATAGAGTAGTCTTGGATTCAGATCTTTGTTTTTCATGACCTTGATTACTTCATGTTATTCTCTTCTGGCCTGTTGAGAAGTCAGGTGATAACCTTATGGGGTTTCCTTTGTATGTAACCTGTTGCTTATCTCTTGCTGCCTCTAGGATTCTCTCTTTGTCTTTAATTTTTGGCATTTTAATTATTATGTGTCTTGGTGTGGGCCTGTTTGGGTTCTTCTTACTTGGGGCTCTCTGTGCTTCTTGAACTTGAATGCCTTCTTCCTTCACCAAGTTAGGAAAGTTTTCTGTCACTATTTCTTCAAATATATTCTCTAACCCTTGCACATTTTCTTATTCTTCGGGAACTCCTATGATGCGAATGTTATTACATTTCCAGTAGTCCCACAGGTCTCTTATGTTATCTTTCTGTTTTTTAATTGTTTTTTCCTTTTGGTTTTCTGATTGGTTGATTTTTTTCTACCGTCTTCTAATTCACTGATCCGGTCCTCAGCTTCCTCTACTCTGCTGGTTAGTCCTTCCAATGTGTTCTTTATTTCTGCTATGTCATTCTTCATTTCCACTTGGTTGGTTTTCAGTGTTTCTATATCTTTACTCAGGGTGTTGATGTCCTTACTCATGCTGTTGAGCTTCCTCAAGATCATGGCTCTGAACTCTACCTCTGATAATTTGCTTAGCTGCATTTCATTTATCTCATCTTTGATAGAGTTCTCTTGTTCTTTCATTTGGGATTTGTTTCTTTGTTTCACCATTTTGGCTATCTCAGTGGGTTTTGGAGCCTGCCAAATTTTCCCTGTGGGTGTTGGTGTTCTGCTGTTTGTAGCTCCCTCTACTGGGTTTAGATGAGCCTGGGTGGGCCCATGTTAAACACCACTGTCAAGTCTTACTTTTCTGGGTAGATTTGAAAACCCAGGAAAGATTCAGTAATCCTCTAGCTTTTTGCCTGGAGGCTATTAGTCTCAGTTACTCAGGGCCTTGGAATGCAGCCCCGGTGTTCTGCATAAGAGGATTTCCAGCCGATAGGACAGGTGCTGGTTGTTAATGAGCCTCAATTTGCATTTCTTTGCCTTACCTGGAAGCGGCTGAATCTCTGAGGGAGGGGCTGCTGCTTTTCCCCACAGCTCTGGGAAGGAGCACACTGGCCACCGTCCACTGTGGCCGCGACTCAGCAAAAACTCTGAGTGCCCTCCAAATTCCGGGTGTCCCCACAGAGTTCCAGTCCAGTCTGCCTTCCCTCTGCTGGGGCCCCAGGTGAGTGGCTGTAGCCAATCAGTGCTCTCTCCCGGCTCTGCACTGTGGAGCAAGCTTAGTATTTTATCCCCAAGGGCACTGCTCACAGCTAAGACCGCTGCTTTCCGTGGGCTCCCAGCCCACCACCCTCTCATGTCTCCACAGATCCTACTGGTGTCCCTGGTCCTGTCCTGCTGCTTTTGTGTTGCTTTTTCTGATGATTTGTCTTTATTTTAGTTGTAATTCCTGTTTGGTCCTGGGAGATCATCTGTGTAGCTTCCATTCACTCTGCCGCCATTTTCGCATCCCCCTCGGGAGCTCTTGACACTGAGTGGAACGTGTCTAACATCTTCCCAAAGGGGCAGGAGTTGGGGTATGTATCCCCCACTCCCATCATCCCACCTCTCCACTGCCCACACACCTTCCAGTAGCGCAGACGAAGTCCTGGTGCTGGCAGCCACTGTGCATAGTCCACTTAGCACGGTGGCCCCTATTCGCCCTGAGCAAGGCTCCGTCAGGACTCCATCTCACAGTGTGAAGGGAAAGCTACCGAGTAGGTCAGCTCCATGTTCTTTTCAGCAGTTTAAATAGTTATCAACATTTAAGGACCACCTGGCAATTACCTGTCTGCCCATCTCCACACAGATCAAAGAATGCATCCTTGTTGGCTTGGGGAGTATGTCCCTCCCCCAGCTTCTTTGGAAGCCGCTCCTATTTAAAGCACACCTTCTCCTACCCGATGCCTTTGCCTGGAATCCTAGCATTTCTCCCAGACGGCTGTCATTGCCTTTGTGAGGTCCAGCGCTGGTGACTGTTGGCCCTTCGCAGTAGGTTTGCTTTGCCTTTGAGTCGGTTTGCGTCTAACTCTCTCACAGCCTGGGACAGGTGTGCAGGGGTGTGGGGACAGGGTGCGGGGCTGGCATACTGGTATTAAGCCAGGAGGAATGCCTGGCAGGGTCCATGTTTATTATGGTGGGTTCTTCGGTGAATATTTTCATGTCAACGTAGCTTGGCTTTCTTGAGCAAGCTTCTAACAACAGTCCTATGAGGTGGCAACATTGTCCCCAACTTATAGATGGGAAACTAGAGGCTCGGACTCTAAAACCCTCAGCATGGTGCTGGAGCTGTCCAGAAACCAGCTCACCTTTGTCTTCTCCTCCTCACATGTCCAGCCACTGTTCAACCTACTCTTCATGGCCCAACTCAAAGTCACCTTGTCTGGGGAACATTTCTTTTCTTTTTTATCCTCACCTGAGGACATTTTTCCATTTCTTACTCAGATAGAGCGGGAAGGAGAGAGAGGAAGAGAGAGAAACATCGATGTGAAAGGGACACATCGAGTGGCCGCCACCCACACGAACCAACCAGGGCCGGGGACAAACTGCAGCCAAGGTACATGCCCTTAGCAGGAACCGAACCCGGGTCTCTGTGGACCGCAGGCCGACGCTCTAACCGCTGAGCCAAACCGGCCAGGGCAGGGGAACATTTCTTGATTCCCCCCACTCACCACACTTCCCAAACCTCCATATAACCTTAATAGGAGGCAACAAGAGGTCAAGAAAATTTGACTTGGAATCAAAGGTCATGAGGTTAAATTCTGGCCCTTGTTGCTCATTTGCTGTGTGACCTTAAGGAAGTGGCTCCATCTCTCTGAGCCTAGCCATTCCAATCCAAAAAGTAGCATCAAAATTTCTACTTCTCCCACGGGGAGGCACTGCTGTGCTCCTGAACTGAGTGGCCCCGGGCCTGTGCTTTCTGAGTTCCTATAGGAGGCTGTGTGGTTACAGGGAGAGAATGTAGATTCGGAGTCAGATGGACTCAGTATGCAATCCTGGGCACAAGTAAACTCACCAAACCTTGTGCGTGAGGTTGTGTGCATGTGTGCGTGTGTGTGTGTGTGTGTGTGTGTGTAAAATGGGCTCCTGGCCTTAAAGGACTGTGGTGAGGATTGAACAAGGCCGTGCAAGTCAAATGTCTGGACCTTGGTAAATGTAAACTCCCTTCTTTTTCGTGATTCCTACTTGCCTTTGGCAGGGGGTGTTTGTACCTAGTGTGACCTGTCTTCTTCTTTCTAATTTGGGGTCTTTAGCCTTCCACACATTGGGAAAATGGAAACCAAAACTATTGGAATTGTGTCTAAACTAAGAGCCAACAGGTCGTGAGTAGCTGAATCTTGAGTGTGGGCACTTTGCAACTTAAGCTTGTTTACTCAGGGGCCTTGTCCCACCTCTTTTGTTCCTTGGCCTGGGCCTGGCTGACCAAGGCAGTCAGATAATTGAGTGTCTGGACAGATGAGGCATGAGTAGGTAATGCTCAACATGCCATCTTTCCTTCTTCATTCTGGTTTCATCTAGGCCTCAAGCCTGTGGGTCCCGAGTCCCAGATTCGCTACTTCATGATCAATGCGCCCGCCATCACTAATGACTATATTTCCTTGGATATCAACGTAAGTGCCTCCCTGTCATCCCAGAGCTGGAGGCTTATTGCCTCTGGAGTCCTTGGTGTTCTGGAAGATTCCTAAAAGAGCAGGGGAGCTGAGTGAGAAGGGCAGCTGGACATGTAGCATCTTGCGGTGGGTGGCATCTCAGAGCCCAGGTTCTGTGATGGGGCATTTCCCTCCTGATGCCCCACTGCTTGTTTGCTTTTCTCCCCACCCCTACAGGCTGTTCTCTTCCTTCTGGGCAAGCCCATCGTCCTGCCCGTGAACGCCACCCCCTTTATACTGCCAGAGCTTGTGGGCACCAAGGGTGCCATGGCAACCGTAGGCCTCTCCCAGGACCTGTTTGACTCTGCCCTCCTGCTGCTGCAGAAGTCTGGTGCCCTAAACCTGGACATCACAGGGCAGCTGGTGAGGGCAACCTGCTGTCTGGGGCATGTGGGGCAGGGATGCCTCTGTCCTAGCCTGGGGAGACCCCACAGAGGCCAAGTCATGGGCAGGAGGGGTGGCTGGAGCTTCGGGGGGCAGGGGGGCTGTTGGAAGGGTTACATGGGTGTTGAGAGGAGGCAAGAGGTGGTCTCTCTTGGGGAGCTGCTGTCCTAAAAGCTGTCATGATGTGGGGGGCTGATTTCAGAAGTCAGATGACAACCGGCTGAACACCTCCGTGCTGGGCCAGATCATCCCTGAGGTTGGTGATACTTCTGGTCATTCCATGGGTCGAGACCCAGGATTGGGGTGGGAGGCTCTCTGGGGTGTGGGATCTCTGCTGGCTTATATCTATCCCAAGTGGGGTTCAACATCTGCATTCCCCCCATCTCAGGCTTGGCCCCTTCTGCCCAGACATCACACTTTGTCTCCTCTGTGGAGAAATACCTAAACACTGCCCTCTGCTTGTCATGTTCTTTCTGTGTCCTTTCCCGTATCCATCTTTAAAACCAAGCTCGGGGATTCTCTCCTAGCGGGGACCAAACCTCTAGTCTGGTCCAGGAGGCTCCTTGAGCTTCCAAGGCCTCTGAGCTTCCCTCCCTCCTGGCACGGATCGCACAGACCATGCCTATCTGCACGCCCATCACCCTGTCAGACTCACGTCCCTGAGGGCAGGGGCCTGGGCTGGTCCCACCTCTGTGACCAGTAACATACAAACGATGGCTTGATCAGCATCAGAAGAATGATGCGTAGAGAGCCCACCCAGCCTTTGCTGCCAGATGGCCTCTTCCCTCTCTCCCCTCTGCTTCCCCAGGTGGCCCGCCAGTTCCCTGAGCCCATGCCCGTGGTGCTCAAGGTGCGGCTGGGGGCCACGCCTACGGCCATACTCCACACCGACAAAGCCACACTGCAGCTGCAGCCATTTATGGAGGTCCTGGCCGTGGCCTCCAACTCGGCTTTCAACTCCCTTTTCTCCCTCAATGTGGTGAGTGAGGTGGGCTGGTGGGGCTGCGGGGAGGATGTTGGCTGCCAAGGAGACCTCACTTCCTGCCCCAGTCTCCTCATTGCTCTGTTCTATCCACACTGGTCTCCTCGTTAGTCCTTATTGTTCCAGGATATTTCTGCCTCGGGATCTTTGCACGTGTCATATCCTGTGCCTAGGACACTCTTCCCCTGGCTCTTGGCATGGCTGGCTTCTCATCTTTCAGGTTTCAGCTTAAACGTTGTAGCCTTCCTCAGGGCAGCCTTTCGGGACTGAGAAAGATGGCCCCGGCAGGCCTCTGCGCCACCGTTCTAACTCAGGGCACCCACTACTCTCCGAGAGGACCCCATCTGGTTACTTTTGTTATTGTTCACCTCCCCCGCTGGCCTGTGCCCCACAAACACCTGCATGAGCGGGAGGTGGGATTGCTGGTGGCCAGCTGAAAGGTTCCACATGGCCCTGTGCCCTCTGTCCCTGCTGTCCCCACTCATCCAGTCAGTGAACCTGAGCCTCCAGCTCTCTGTGTCGAAGGTGAAGCTTCAGGGGACCACGTCTGTGTTGGGGTAAGCGAGGCCTCCTGGACCCTGCACCTCAGTGTGTTCCTCTATGTAGTGGGCTCACAACTACCTGTCACAGAGCTTTGGATGCAGCAGTCATGGTATGGGGGGGGTGGCACAAGGACCCCCCGCCCTAACCTCCGGCTTCCCTTTCAGGGAAGTCCAGCTCACTGTGGCCTCCTCCAATGTGGGCTTCATTAACGTAAGTGTGGGGCTGGGGTCTCTAGAGCCCCCCTCACTGGGTGGGGCAGGCCACGAGCTTGGGGAAGGAGTACCTGTGCACTCATGTGCCACCATAACCAGGCTTCCTCCTGGGGTGCTTGGGGACAGTGGTCGGTCAGTGGTCCATCCATCAGCAGCCTTTCCCATGATGTCTATCTGCTGGTCCGCCAGTCGGTCAGCTTTAGTTCTTCAGTGGGTCAGTCAGATGGCCTGCTTTCTCTCTGTCTGGTGGTGGATGAACTATCAGCCCCAGAATCACTGAAGCCGTTGGTAAATCGGACAAGCCAGCGTCAGATGGAGTCGGCTGCTCCTTCAGTCATGTGACATGGCTAGAACACTAGCCACCATGCATCCCATTGTCCGCTGGCCTGCCAGTCCATATGCCCCATCAGTCTATCTACTGGTCAGTCCTTCTGTCTGTCAGTGCCAGCCGGGCAGCCAGCCAGCTGTCAGTCACCCCGTGTGCGAGTGTCAGTCAGGTGCTGGTCCCTCAGCCTCCCCTAGGGCGAGCGGTTCCTAGGGGCCGAATGCTCAGAAGGCTGACCCAACCCTGGGGGTAGCTGGGCTCTGCTTGAAGCCAGGACAAGGGTGACCTGCCTCCTCCCTCCCCCTGTGCCTCTGATGTCTGTGTGTCCAACTGTGCATTTATGTGTGGCCTGCCTGTCCATCTCTCTTGGGCCCTTGCTGGGGTGGACCTACGGTCCCCCATCTCCCTGGCTCCGCGGCTGCAGGTGGATCAAGTGCAGGCGGTCGTGGGTAACGTGTTTGAGGAGCCCCTGCTGGACCACCTCAATGGTGAGCTCTGCCCTCCTCCTGCTCCAGACTCCATCCCGGCCCCGTTCTACCTCCCGGGCTCAGAGGGTAAGGGGGTGACCTCTGGAGTACAGCTTGGCATGGCTATTTAGTAGCTGTGTGACTTAGCTAAGTTCCTTTCCCATGCAAGCTCCCACCTTCCCTCTGTAAAGGGGGCACGCACACCCCTGCTCCCGGGCGGTGCTCCGCTGCTGCCTTCCAGCTGAACTCGGTTTCTCTTTCCCCACCTGTAGCTCTCTTGGACATGGGGCTTGCCCTTCCCAACATGGTCAACCTCTACTACGTCACCCCTGAGGTCTTTGTCCGCGAGGTAAGAGCCTACGGGTGTGACCAGAGGGGCCTCCTCAACCCTTGGAGGGAGGCTGGGTTCTGTGACGTGGGGGTCCCCTCCTTCCCTCCCTCCCTGCTAGTGCAAAAGGTGGGACCTCAAGGTCAGCCAGGTCTGGGAGTACCCCCTGCTCCTACCAAGACCACGCAATGAACCCTTAGCTGCAATGAGATGGAGAATCCAGGATGTCGAGAGACACTGCTGGAGGCTTTCACCGGCCTTTAGTCCTCATCATATATCACACCAGGCCACTACGGTCCCTTGATTCTGTGCCCTGTGTGGGTACAGCCCCTTTGGTGTCTGGGGGAGGATGACAGGGGCTCCTTCCAGCTTTGTACACAAACCTCTGCAGCTGGATGGGAGAAGGGGCTCCCTGATCCTTCTAAAATCACTTTCCCTAACCAGAAATTGTGGGCCCAGAGTAAAACTGAATCACAACGGCTGCCCGGGGTGAGATCCTGTAGCTTCTTTCTTTTTCGCCTGGGACATAAAAGTTTAATAGTCTTAAACTTTAAACTTTTATAGTCCGAATCCACTCAACAAGACATGCACAGGACAGAAAGCTTGGCCAAGGCCCCTCAAGCCCAACATCTGTGTGTTCTTCAACCCCCCCCCCCCCCCCCCCCCGCCGCCAGTGAGACCCACTGACGTCTTTCCAGGGAGGATCTCCTTGGCACTTAAGAACTATGGTCCCAAGGCACTTGGGTGATCCCCACTACCCACCAAGAAGGAACACGAAGAAGCCAGGGCTATTAGTAGGAATTTCCCCCTAAGACTTCTCCAAATAGGCATGGTCAGTGGCTGGCCCACAATCTAGCCAGCTGGGTCTGAAGCACCTGACACAGGGCTTGGCTCACAGTAAGACTCAGTGAAGAGTTACTACAGGAAGGAAGGAAGGAAGGAAGGAAGGAAGGAAGGAAGGAAGGAAGGAAGGAAGGAAGGAAGGAAGGAAGGAAGGAAGGGGGAAGGAAGGAAGGAAGGAAGGAAGGAGGAAGGAAGGAGGAAGGAAGGAAGGAAGGAGGAAGGAAGGAAGGAAGGAAGGAAGGAAGGAAGGAAGGAAGGAAGGAAGGAAGGAAGGAAGGAAGGGAGGAAGGATCAGCAGGCCCCGGACGTTTCTGCAGAGCATTGTAGAGAGTAGGGGACAGGTGGATAGTGCCGGGCTCTGCTGGCGAGCCTCGGACTTGGAGAAGATACTCAGTGGTCTGGACTCCCAGTCGTAAAACAGATGGCCTCATGCTGAGGGCTCTGCCTGTGTGGTCTCACAGCATCTTCACGGTAGCATTTTTCAGGTAGGTGCTGTTAGTGTCAATAGAAAACTGAGCCCAGAGACACACATCGAGAGTGACAGAGCATGAACTCAGAGCCAGGCTGATGGGACAGCTGGGGTCCTACAGGTCTCAAGTGGCCTCTGACTTGGCCCATGGTTTTCTTTGCCTTTCAGGGCTATGTGGTGATATCCAGTGGACTCGTCTACCAGCACTGAGGCAGGACCACTGGGAGGGCTAAGATGGACCGGCTGCCTGGCCTGGGGACCCTCTTGCCTCATGCCACATAGGAAACAGGCAAAGCCGCACTTAGTCATCTCCAGCCAGCTGGATGACCCAGGCGGGCTGTTTAATCTTTGCTGTGTGCCTATGTTCCCCTCCTTCACTTCCTCCCATCCTGTCCCTTCTCCCTCCTTTCTCCCCTCCCTCTTTCCTCACCTTCCTCCAACCCCCCTCACCGTGGGGAGTAAACTGCTCCTCCAAGCTATAGAGACCTGTCCCCTCTTGCATTAAACATCTTCTCTTGAGCTGCAACTTCCAGCCAAAACCAGAAAACTCTTTGTATAACTGAGGCCAGTTCCCTACATTTAGTCCTTGGGTCCTGTCTGTCCATGGAGCCACCGAGGCTGCATGGGAGAAGAAGAAGACGTGACCACATCTCTATTGACCTTATCTGTTGACTCCATTACCTCCTTGTCCAGGGGAGCTCATATTTTGAATGAAGACCCTGGAGAGCAACACAGACGACCTGGAAGTTACGGATGCCATGGTGGTGGCACTTTAGGCACTGTGCCCTACCTGGTGGCATGCCCCATGCCTTTTCCCCTCTACAGTGTCACAGCCCACCTTGATGCTAGGGCCATAAGAGCCCTGTGAGTCAGGCAGGCAGGATGCGGAGTCCCATTTCACAGATGCAAGGACTGAGGCCCAGCAAGGAGAGAAATGCACCCAGAGTCTCACAGCTGAATGACAGCCGATCCCTAGGACTCGATCTTCCTAGAATCCAAACATAAGATGTCCAGTTCCCTCTTCCATTCACCAGCACCCCCACCAGGGAGTTTATCCTTGAGTCATGAGCCTCAGGTGACAGGGACTTTCCTACCTTCTCATGTGGCGTCTCCATCTTTGGTTTACTCCGGTAGTGAGCGAGTTTTTTGTTTGAAGGAGGCAGGATCCACCTCCTGAGCCTGATGCCTCACTGAACATTTCTAATTCCCTTTCCCTTCAAAAGCTCTTCAAACCCCATGAGCCACACACGACAAGGTGGCCTAGGGCAGACTGAGGGATGCAAACACTGGCAACCAAAGCCATGTGATTTTCTCCCTGCCAATAAGCTAATCTCTTGGCCAGAGATAGCATTCCTTCTGGCCTAGATATATAGGATCCATGCTTTGCCTTTGTTTCCTGGGGAGTCAAATGTGCCCAAATCTCCACCATCAGAAAGCGAAGTCTTTGGTACTGCGTGTCACTAGCCTCTCCCTTCTGTGGGTTATAGGCTCATCCCTAAAGTCTCAGTGCGACAGGCTGAAGGCTGGGAACCAGCCCAGAGTCGTGGTGGTGAGGAGGAGATGGGGATGGTGCTGAGAGAATGGAAAGGGGCAGACTGTCAAATCCAACCTCATAATTTTGCTTGAGACAGCATGGCCTTTATTTCTTCTGGTTGCTTGTTAATGAATTCATTAATCCTACTTTTATTGGGACTTAATATAGGCTCAGCCCAAGGCTGTGGTGGTTTGGAAAATTTTAAGACCCAGACCCAGCCCATAAATGTAGTAATGACCTATGAAAAGATCATGAGCTCAATATGTAAGGTCCATTAAGCAATCAGTCCAGTGATCCAATTTTCCTTCCATCTATTCATCTACCCACCTGTCAATCCATACATGCACTCATCCATTTGTCCATCCATCCATCCATCCATCCATCCATCCTGTCATTCACACATCCACCCACTTATCCAATCACTTTTTGCAACCACCTAGGTCTTTGTTTGTACCCATGATATACTCTGTTGTATCATATATGTTCTTTTAGGAGGAGGGGGATGAAGTCCCTGCATCCTGCTCTGGGCCCAGAGGGAAGCGATGGTCTATAGAAGGAGCATTGGCCCAATCCCTAAGGGACACCAGTCAGTCATCCAGTTAGGAACCTGCTGGCTGCTGGCTGCTGAGAGGGACAGATGAGTGTGGCAGTCTGGGTCCAGTCAGAAGGTAGAAACCACGTAGTAGCTTAAACAGGGACCATTTAATCTGAAGAATCAGGACTATGGGAAAAGAGTAACTGTAAGCTGGAAGGAAGCGGTACAGTACTCTACGGCTGAGTGAGAGCACCCAAGGAAGGAAACCCTTGGAAGGGCTCAGACCTCACTGGAGAGGGTATTGTTCAGCCTCCTGGGTAGCAGAGAAGCTTGCTGCTTTGGCCAGGATGGGGCTGGCCTGGAATTGCTGGGCAAACCACAAGCAGCAAAGACCTTCGGTGTAGCACATGCAAGTAGCATGGGGGGAGGGGAGGGAGGCGAGGAGCCCTAGGAAGAGGGCGTTTTAGCATCCGTTCTGTGTGTGACCACGCAGGGGCACTTACAGAGGGGGTGGGGCACTGGAGGGGCAAGAGGCATTCAGCGTGGGTGGGCCAGGGGTCGGGTGTGTGAGCTCTGGTTTCTGTTCCCAAGGGCCCTCAGGAAAGACTCTCTGTTTCCTTAAAATAATTTTATTTTTATTTCTATCTGGCCATTGAAACTTGGTTGGGACCACTTTACTTTGAATTTAAGGTAACAGAGAATGGTATGACCGTCCTTTTCCTGCTCAGAATTGCTATCATTATTCTGCCCCCTCATCAGAAAGAGAATAGTACAGCAGCCCCGGGAAGTTGAGGGAGCCACCCAAGGCCACACAGCTTGTAAGGGCAGTGGCTGGGCTGGGGCCCAGATCCCTGAACCCATGCAAGGCGGTTTCTCCAGCCCCCCATCCCCACCCCTGTCCTTCCGGCTCCCCCAGATCCTCAGGACGGCTCTGGAGGAGGCAGGAGGGCCCAGAGCAGAGGCACGCTGCGTGGGTGTGCGTGCAGGAGGAGAGGAGGCCTGCAGGGCCCCCTGTTGGCTGGGGGCGGATCAGCAGGGATAAAACCATGCTATCTGTAGACTCCTTCCTCCAGCTCAGGGCCCAGATCAGGATGGAGACTGTCTGGGCCAACCGGGTCCTCTTCCCCTGTCCCAACCCTGGCTCCAGCCCTGCTGACCTTAGGCAAGTCCTTGCCCTAACCCCTGCCTCAGTGGCCCCACGCACTCAATGGGCACAGTAGCTTCCTCAGTCTTTCAGACCTGTGGGCTCCCTGGGGGTTGGATGAGGAAAACCTCAGTCATCCAGCAGTCTCTCCCCAAAGTGCCCTCAGCCAGGCCTCCCAAGGGCCTCACGGAGAGCAGAGCAGAGGCTGGCACCCCAAGGCCCGGGTTCCAGCCCCTGCTCTGTGGCCAGCTCACTGTGTGGCGCTGGGGCCACCCAGCCTTCATTGCCCTCCAGCTCTGGACATAGAGAGAAGTCCCCACCCCCAGCATTTATCATCTCCTGGAATCACCTCCAGGAGCAACCCCACTGGACATCTAGCTCTTTGTGGCCCTTGTGAGTCTCAGATGGTCCAGCCAACATCTCCCAGCCCTTTGCACTTGGCAGTCCCCCTGAAACTCCTTTCCCCGGCCTTGCCCAGCTGGCTCTGCTCATCCTCAGACATCAGTCCAACATCCCCGCTCCAGAGGTCTTGGCTCCGATGATAACCCCGATCTTCCCTCCTAGCCTGTCCCCCTGGTTCAGTGGCTTCCACCACTTTCTCCCAGGAACGACCTGGCTCTGCAGTTGTTGACCTCAGAGAGCTCACCTCCCCTGGAGCTGCCAGGAGCCCTCTCAGGACAAGAATCTCAACCGCCTGTTCACTGAGGCATCCCCACAGCCCTGCAAAGGCACCCAGCAGGTGCCCAATAATGTTTGTGGAAGGAACAAGAGTGCCAACTATGTGCCCAGCCTTGGGGAAGGCGGTGGTCTAGGGGAAGGGGCACCATGAGCCCTGAGCCCTGATCCTGCTCTGATGACCACGCCCTCCCCTCGCCACCAACATCCGCCCCGTGCAGCCACGTGGGTCTCCCAACCACCACCATCCTCTGCGCTGTTTACGTTGGAACAGACTGAGCATCACGTGAACAGTGGGACTCCTGTTCTTTAGGCCTCTAGATAATATCTGGGCCTTATTAAACCCTTCATTATCCAAGCAGCTAATCAGGCTCCCAAATATAAGGACTTCCTTGTCCCCAGGTCCGGAGGCAGGGGTCAGTCACCTGCAGGACGCACCCAGGCTCAGCAAGGTAAGGACAGGCCCCACCTGTGGAACTCTCCCGAGAGTTTCTCCTCCAGGCCTGTCATTATACAGATGAGAACACTGAGGCCCAAAGAAGGAAGGGAAGGAAATTGGCTGAGATCACATAGGAAGTGAGCAAGTGGGCGGCAGGGCCAGGGCTTCGTTCTATGTCCTGACCCCCCAGTGCTGCCCACCGGACAGGGAGCCACTGGACTTGCAGTCTTCAGATGCTGTAGGACTTCGGCAAAAGCAAGGAGAGCAGATGTGAGGAGCTTCCTTGAGCTCCATCCGAGGCCACGGGGAGACCAGAGAAGCCCGGATTTGCGGAAGCTCAGAGCTGAGCTGGGGCAACCCGGCGGGATATGGGGATGAAGGAGGGGTTGGAGCATCAGGAGCACCTGCCAGGCTGAGACGGGGAGGGAGGGACTCCAGGTGGAGAAAAATGTATGAGCAAAGAACGCAGTGGGGGCAGCAGGAGGCGCCCAGTCAGATTCAGACTGTGGTCTTCGAGGATGGGGGCAGCTGGCGACCGAGGGGACGCTTCCTGGTGGGGAGGCAAAGGCTGGAATTAGGACTTGAAGGATAAGCCAGTTATGGATGGGTTGGGGGAGGGCATTCTAAGAGGGAGAGAGCGCTTAGGCAAAAGTACAAGCATAGTCAGAAGCAAAACCTGACACTGACTGTCCCAGAAACCCCGACCTGGCTGTTACCCTAAGCCACTTAGTATTTGAAGAGGGCAAAGAGTCCTGCCCAGAATCGCCTTAACCTGGCATCAGTTCTGGCCTGGGAATGGGGGGACAGGACTGTGCTCAGTCTCAGGGTTCAGCCTCTCCAACTGGGAGACCTGTCAGGGGCTGCAGGGGACCTCCACCAAGCCCCTCCCAGCTCTGTCACCCCGGCACTGAACTGGCCAGTCCTCCGGATATGATTTTTGAGGAGATTTCAAATTGGGCGTGGATATGCCTGGCACATTTCCATGGCACACGAGCGTGTTCATAGGGGTTGAAGAAACACCAAGATTGCTTATGTTCAAACCCAGACAGATATTTAAACATTGAGTGGGATGAGAGAGAAATATACTTTCATTTAGCAAAAATTGATTGTAGGCTCGAATGGTCTGCCCTGGCTTTTTAAAAGCTGTCTGCTTCTTATTCTGTAGGTCTCAGTCTAAATATATCCTCTTCACAGAGTCCTTCTCTGTTCGCCTCCCACCCCCCACCACACACACACACACACACGCACACACACACACACACACACACAGTGTCCCTTTCTATTGCTTCTCTTAAAGATTCAGGAGAAGCAGGACTGTCTCTGCCATGTCTACCTTGTAGCCTGGTCTGCCTGTCCCATAGTAGGCCCTCAACAAGTGTGAGTTGAATGAACGAATAAGTGAAGGAATGAATGACTGGGCTCGAAGTAGGTACCCATCTCTGTTTGTGGATCAGTGGAGCCCTCGGTGGCCGGAGCCTGCTCTCGGCAGGAGGCCAGCTGGAACTCCGCCTTTCTGGGTGACACAGGCCAGGCCTGTGGCCCCTCCTTGGTTTCTTTCATCCACAGCTCTAACCTGAAATAAACACGTGGCTCTGGTTGGCAGAATTTCAGGTCTTGGTAAGTAGGAGGAAGGGATTTCTAGGGCTTAGGGGTGGAATGGGAACTTTGAAGAGTCTGGGTTTGGAGGTCCTGACTCAGTTCTCTACTCGCTGGTAATGAGACCTTGGGTATGTGCCTCAATTTCCCTGTGGGTGAAGGGATGTCTCAAGAGGCCTTAAAGGGCTGTGAGCTGAGATTTTTGGAAGTGAGACTGAGCTGGAGGAAGTGGGGGTGCCATTGGCTGTAGTGTCAAGGTGAGGGGAAAGGGGTTCCCCCATTCCCACACTGGAGTGGGAGTTCCTTAGTCAGGACCAGGATGGAATCCCCTCTGTGGCCCAGCATTGCCTGGAACTGAGCTGCACTTGAACTGTTGATAAACTGCAGCTGAACCTTCCACCAACCCCATAGTGCAGGCTACTCAGAATGCATCATGCCCCCAGATGAGGAAACTGAGGCTTAGAAAGGGAAGTGACCTGCCGGGGTGACTCCAGAGGGCCTGTGTTTAATCTGGACACTCTCTGACTGCTCTGGGAGGCAGTGATGAGGCCTCCAGAGATCATCCAGGGGCCCGGTCTGCCCTGGAGCATGGGAGGTCTCCAGGGGAATCAGGGCCCAGCGGGCTGCACCCAATCCAGGCCCTGTGGTACAGGCAGAACCATGCTGCAGATCCTGTGTCTGGCACTCTGTGGCCTACTGACCTGCACACGAGGTGAACCCCGGGCGCTGCTGCGGCTGGGCATGGACATCATGAACCACGGTGAGCTGGCAGGCCCAGGTAGGGGGTTGAGAGTGGGTGGATCAGAGGGTAGGTGGTACGTAGTGATGGCTCATGTTTGCATGGCCTTGAGCAGCCTATGATCCTCATGATACACTTATAAGCAAAATAGGGTGACTTGCTCAAGTTCTCTCCAAAAGTTGGAGGCACATCTGGAAATCCTGCTTCCTTGGAACCTCTCCTTGGCTCCGATGGCAGGGGTCAGTGGCCACAAGTAGGCTGTGGAGAGACAGACATAAGCCAAATACCAGCTCACCCAATAATTTGCTGTGTGACCTCAGGCAATTCTCCTACCCTCTCTGTGCTGCTGTTTGCATATCTGTAAATGTAAAGAAATGGAAAATGGGGTGACCAGTCTTTACCGGGCAAGATCAAATAAAATATACTAAAATCACCCGGGGGATTTACTTTCCACCTTTGAGCTCTGTGACTTCAAGGGAAATGAAGTCACATCCAGGTGTAAAGGGCTAATGACAGTTCTGTCAGCTCAGTTTTTGTCCCATCTCTGGGAATTAGCCTGTGAGCACTGTGGAGGTGTTTCGGGCAGTGTTATTTGGGGTTGGAACTTCCAGGCCTGGGGAATCAGAATGTCTTGGCTTCAGGCACAGAATCTGCATTTTAACAAGATCCCAGACGAGTTCCCTAATCATCCAGGTGTGAGAGTGGCTTGGGGTCCCTATGATGTGCCCCCTGCAAACTGCTCCAGTTTCTGTCATGTCCCTCCCCACCCTCCAGCCATGCTGTACTTCTCACTCCCCTCACCAGGCCCCTGCACCCCCACTCCCCCACCTTTGCACGTGCTATGCCCTCTGCCTTGAGTAGCCCCTTCATCCCTTTGCTTCCTGGTGAAAATCCCTACTCCTCTCTCAACCGACATGTCGCCTCTTCCTGTAAGCCTTCCCAGCAATTCTTTTTCTGGCCCAAACTCCCCATGTTGTTCCTTCAGCTGCCTGCACTTATTATGGCCCTTGTCACTCATTATTGACATTACTGGTGACTGTCTCCTCCTTGAAGCTGGAGGAGGACTGGGCATGACTCATCTCTGGGTGTTTGGATCCCCCAGCTCGGGGGAGGAGGGCGGGCATAGTGACTCTGGGGCACATAGTGGTGCCACTTGTAAGGGGCCTGGGCCTGGGATGCCAGAAATTGGCCCAGGGCTGGACAGCAGTGAGGAGGCCAGCTGAGTGTCCCTCTGGACCCCCCTCCTTTCCAGAGGTCCAGAGTGCTATGAACGAGAGTCACATCCTGGAAAAGATGGCAGCTGAGGCGGGCAAGAAACGTCCGGGGGTGAAACCCATCAAGGGCATCACTGAGTGAGCAGGGGAGGGGCTGTGTGTGGGGTGATGACGAGGGCACAGGGTGGGGGGGAGAGCCGGGCCAGGACCCGAGAAGGCAGGTGGGACAGCTAGTGCAGGATGTGGGACCTCTTCCGTGCCTTGTTGCTGGCTTGCCCTGTGACCCTGGGCAGGTCACCGCTCCTGCCTGGGCCTCAGTCTCCACGGTCATCTGTGAGGACAGTTCCTGCCTGTTGTGAGCAGGGTTACTGGGAGGAAGAGAGGTTCAGGAGCTCACTGAACGTAGGTGCAATTGAATGAAGGATCCTCAGATGGCAGAGCTGGAAAGGTATCAACAACCTAATGTCGGGCAACTTGGTTCCATTACCAGTGCCGCACAGGGTTGATTGGTAGGGGCTGCCTGGAGTGATGTACTGGGGAGGCACTCTCTGGACTGGGCGGGAAATAGGACTGTGACCAATGAACGGTCTGCCAAGAGCCCAGGACGGGCAGGTAAAGGTAGATTGCGACACATCTGTTACCCTGGATCTCAGACTGGTGGCTCTCAACCAGGGGTGATTTTGCCTCCAAGGAACATTTAGCAACGTCTGCAGACAGTTTTGGTTGTCTTGATTTGCTGGAGGGCGGTGAGAGGTGTCTTTAGTGGGGAGAAGCCAGAGAGGCTACTAAACATCCTACAGTTGCACAGGACAGCTCCCCAGAACAATTATCCTGCCCAAGATGTCGATAGTGCCAATGGCAAGAAACCCTGACCCTCGCAAACCTCCCCATTTTGCCAATGGGGAAACTGAGGCTCAGAGAAGGGAAGGGTGTTGCCCAGGGTCACACAGTCAGCCAGGTGTCTCGACTCACACATGATGAGTGCTTTCTGTGTACAAATTGGTTCATGTTTGTGTTTCACGATGGCCCCACGAGGCAAGTTGATCCCTATGACATGGGGTAGGGGATTTACCTAAGATCTCCCAAGCAAGGTGGCGGAAGAGCGGGTTGAGGGCCTGGCATGGTCTCACCTGCTCCGTTCTCATTGCTGTGGATGTCTGGCCCCTCCCAGTATGAAGGTGAAGGATGTGCAGCTACCTGTAATCACACTGAGCTTCACGCCAGGGGCGGGCATCTTCCAGTGTGTATCCACCGGCATGACCATCACTGGCAAAAGGTGAGTATGGCAGGGGAGGAGAGGCGGAAAGAATGGTGTCTTTGTTTCATTCTTACATGCACATTTATTGAGTACCTACTGTGTACCATCTGGGTGCTGTGGTCTGAGATGATGCAAACTTGATTCCTACTTTGGATGGGAACCAGACCTGAGCACAGGCGATCACGGGTTGAATGATTAACCTAGGACAGAGGGAGCACTGGTAGGGTGAAGGGATCAGAAAAAGCTTTTTGGAGACTATGACAGCTGAGCAGGGTTTTGAAGGATGTGTAAGAGTTCACCAAAGCAAGAGGGGAAGGACTGCTTTTGTGACCTTAAGCAGGTCCCATCCCCCCTTCTGTCCTGTGTGGGTGGTCTCCGACCCGTTTCCCCTTCCAGAGCTGCGGAGAATGCGGGCAGAGGAGGTAGGGAGAGTGGCCACAGTGGCAGAAATGCCCATGATGCCTGCCTACCCTCTCTTCCAGCTTCATGGGTAAGAACATGGAGATCATTGTGGTCTTCAACATCACGGCCACCAACCGGATTTTGCAAGACGAGGAGACGGGTCTCCCCACATTCAAGAGCGAGGGCTGTGAGGTCATCCTGGTCAGCGTGAAGACCAACCTGCCTAGCAAGTGAGAGGCTCTGCAGCTGGGGAGGAAGGCTGGGCTCACAATGCCATCCCAGCTCAGCATCCCACTTCCTGAGCCATGCCCGTTTGTCCTGTGCCTAACTTCCTGCCATCTGTGCCCCTGTCCCCGTTTTCTGTGTCCAGCATGATGCCTAACGTTATCAACAAGTTCCTGGACAGCACCCTACACAAAGTTCTCCCTGGCCTGGTGAGTGCCCAGGGCAAGCCTGTACCCCTCACCCCGGCAGAGCTTAGACCAGGGCTGGCAGGTGCATTTATCTCAGGTGCTGACCCTGATCTGCTGACAGTGGCTGAGGAGGATTCTGAGGCTGTGGCTGGCTCAGCAGGAGATAGTTCTGTGATCATCTAGTAATGTCTGCCATGAGCACGGGATTAGGAAGTGATAGCATGCACAGATTGCCAACCCTGCCCAGATCACCAGTCACTGGGGAATGAGTCCTCACTGATTTTGGTCCTCACGGATCAAGAGATCTGGATTCTAGTCCAGGCTCTGCCATCAACTTTCCATGTGACCGAGGCCTCAGTTGCCCCTCCAGTCCCTGTCCCGCCAGGGCTCTTGGGATTCCCGTGAAGTACCATTCAGCTGTGAGGAGATGCAGGGGCTCCCTCATCCCAGCACCTTCTCTGCTTTCAGATGTGTCCAGCCATTGATGCGGTCCTGGTGTATGTGAACAGGAAGTGGGCCAACCTGAACAGTGAGTAGTCCTAGCTCTGCCTTGCTCCCAAACAGGGACATCAGGATGGGAGGACTTTGAGGCCCCATTCCCCATTCAAGTGCCTGCTCCCAGCCCAGCCTTGGGACTAAAGGAGGTCTGCGGTCTGTCCATCCCGCCATTGTACAGATGGGAAGCCTGAGACCCTGAGGGACTCTGGGGTCCTTGCCTCTTAACTCTCCAGCCATTGTTCTATTCATCACCCCCCAGACTCCAAGGACAGCAGCCATTATGGGTTCATGCACACACCTTGCACCCTGAATAGTAATCCTGATAGTGGTGATACCTCTTTCCTTTGCTAAGAGCACCTGCTACCTCCATCGTCTCGGGGTTCACAGAACTCTCCAGTGTTGGGGAGAGTTAAGCCCAATAGCTGGGAATGAAGAAGACGGGTTTATGTGCCCAAAATGTGGCCTGGGACAGATCACTCCACTCTTACAAGCCTCAGTTTGCTCATCTGTAAAACAGAGCTGGTAATCCTGACTCCGCCTGTCTGTGGTGACAGCTGAGTTGTGACAACCTTGGCAAACTCTCAAGCTCTATGCCTTCAGAGTGACGAGAGGGAGCATGGTTTTCCAGGTCAGACACCACTGCCTTTATTCTACAGATGAAATTACCGAGGCCCAGAGATGCTAAGCAATTTGCCTTGGGTCAGACAGAGGGCCAGGACACCTGGCACGTAGACCAGACTCGGGTAGAGGTTGGCTGATGCTGGCTTCTCTGGGCTGCTTCTTGGTTGGCACCTCTCTAAATGGAACCTCTTCTTCGCACAGCCCCCATACCCATAGGCCAGATGGGCACTGTGAAGTATATCCTGACATCCATACCAACCACCACAGCCAGCTACATTCAAGTGGACTTCAGTGTAAGCACCAGGGGGTCACCAGGGGCCTGGGGTCTCAGGCTGACTGGCTTGAGTAATGGGTGCTGTCTGGGGCTGGGGTCCTTGCAGACCAGGCCCACCCATGCAAGTATTTTCCTAACACTGGGGTCCTTTCCCTCTTTCTCTCGCAACTTGAACCCTGAATCCCTGAGCTGATTTTCCAACTCCACATTCACACCTGCCCCCAAGGCTGTCTGCTTCTTCCAATGTGTGGCTCACCCAGTTGTACCCCACAATTGTACAGACGGGAACACTGGGGCCTGGGAGGAGGCAGGACTTAGCTAGTGTCCCACTGTGAGTTGGTGGCAGAGTGGGGACCTCACCCATGTTTCCAGAGCTGCAGGCAACTAGGTGAGATTCATCTTCCAGGGATGGCAAGAAGTTATCTCCCTGCAAAGTCTTCTTCCAGCATGGTTCTTACAGGCCCTGCATTATTTTCCTCTTACCTCTTTCTTCTGAGAATAAAACAGAAAACACGTTCTGCATCAATGAGGGCTCAACCAGTCAGAGTCAGATGAACTGAGGTTACTTGAGGAATCAGTCCTAGGAGAAACCACCAGTGGTTTGGTGACTGGCTGCCTTAGCCTATCAGGCCTCCATCTACCCATTGGCACCCTGGGAGGGTCGAGCCCCTGGGGCCCGCTCTGGCTCCAACATCTGATGACTTGCTGACTCAGGGCTGTTTTAAGTGCCATTAATTTGGAGAGTTGAGACTCACCCACCCTAGCCACAGTCCCTCATGGCCAAGGCTGAGTGTCTTCTCTGTGGTCCCACAGCCTGTGGTACAGCAGCAAGAGGGCAACGCCATCCAGCTCGCTGATGCTGGGGAGGCCCCCGAGTTCCCTGAGTACTGTGTTGAAGGCTCTTCACAGCTCCTGCTCTCGGCCGCCTTCCTCACAGCAGAGCTTGCCCTTCTGCAGAAATCCTTGGATTTTAACATCCAGGACACAACGGTGAGCTGCCCTCTGCCCCGCCCCCTGTAATGGCAGCCCCTGTCCGGCGTGTCCATTCTTAGAATTATCCTGGGGTTGTGGGCAATGCTAGGACTGGGAGATGCCAGAACTGACTTAGGGTTATATCATGTATTAACCCCCCCCCATCCACCATCTCTCTGTCCATGTAACCACCATCTACCCATCCATCCATCCATCCATCCATCCATCCATCCATCCATCCATCCCCACTGATCCATCCATTATCCTCCAATCCATGTGCTCACCATCCATCTATGTACCTTTTCATCCATCCCATGCCCATTTATCCATCATCATCCATTCTCTCATCCATTTATAGTAACTTTCCACCATCTCTGCATCCACCAATCCCCCCATTCATTATTCTTTTCATTCTTTCACCTACCTATCCACCTGCCCATTTATCTATTTTTCATTCTCCCACATAAACATTCTGTCATCCATGGATCCTCCCATCCACTCACTCACTCATCTCTTATCCATTTTCCTCATCCATCTACCATCTACGAATCCATCCATTCACTCCCCACCCCTACCCATTACATCCACTCATTCTCATCTATCTGCACACCTTTTCATCCAACATTTTCTTAGTATTTAACCTTGTCCTAAGAGCTATGGGCATTGGAATGTGTAAGCCATAGTCTGGGCTACCCAGGAGTTCATTATATACTTACTCACCGAGTGGTGTGTTTGGATGAAGGGACCCTCAGAGGGCACACCTCATTAAGTCAGAGGAGATGTTTGCTAGGATAGGCTAGGGGAGGCTCCAGTAATCCTAAACTTGACTTGCATTTTGTAGGTTGGTGAGCTGCCCCCACAAACTACTGAGACACTGTCTGGCTTCATCCCTGAAGTGAGTGCCCCAACCACCCATGATCACCACATCCTGCCCTGTCCTGTTCTCCTCTAGTCAAAGGGACAAGAAGCTGGGGAGGCAGCTTTTCAGTGTTCATCTCCCTGGTCCCCGGGGCAATCATCTGGACTTCTCCATAAAGTACTCTTTGGGTCAGTGTTTGTGCATTGCACTTTCTATGTCCAATATAGAAATAGCCAGGTTGTCTGTTTCATTTCTCTTATTTCCTGATAGATCCACCCCAGCCTTTGCATGTTGTACTTCTTGTGCCCAAGGGAGAATCACTGGTTTCATGACAGACTCCTGGTTTCAACTGAAGCCACTGGGCTGAGGCTTGGCTCTGAGGGGAGTTTCCTGGTTTTTGTAGGTGGCTAAGGCCTATCGCAAGCCAACGCCCTTGGTGACTCAGATTAGGATAAACAAGCCCCCCAAGGTCACCATGAAGACAGGCAAGAGCCTGCTGCGCCTCCGTGGCACCCTGGAGATGTTCTCTGCTCAGCAGCAGGGCGAGGCTCCTGTGTCGCTCTTTCTCCTGAAAGTTGTGAGTTGAATCTGTTCCCCATTTAAGCCCAACTTCTTGGAAGGTGAGATTTTAGTTGATAGCCAAGTAATGGACTGAAGCGTTCTTAGTTCATCTCAATTGTGTGGTCCTAACCTCCCAGACCTTGTCACCTGATGTCTGATCCTTGGCTCTGCCATTGAAACTGAATGACTAGGACGATCAACAAACTGAGGGTCAATAGTTAGTCCTTCCTTTTTCTCTCCTCTGTCCCTCTCCCTCCCTCCCTTTGACATCCATTAGCATTTATAAGGGCAGTAAAGGGCTCAACCAGGGGACTATGGGAGCCCAGAGAGATCCCAAATCCAGTTAGAAGACATCACAAAGGACTTCCCAGAGGAGGAGATACCTAAGCAGGAGGCTGAAGGTGGAGCAGGAACTGGCCAGGAAAGGGGTTAGTGTTGGCGAGGCTGGTGATGGAGGGCACTCCAAGCGGAGGTTACAGGATGTGCAAAGGCCTGGAGAAATTACATGATTTGTGCAGGAATCTACAAACGTGCCAGGTATTTTTGAGGGTGCTGCCCTGGGCCAGCTTCAGGGAGGGATGAGGAGCCTGGGCTGGGTCATGGGGATACTGTTGGGCTCAGGTCCTGAAGATGGAACGAGCAGAGAGGAAGACCTCTGCTGTCTTGGCAGCAGTGGTGGTATTGGAGAGGTGGTAACACTTCTAGTTTTACCAGCCTTGATGGAGGGCCTTCTCCCTGCTTCCCCTCATGCCAGCACTTCAACCTGAAAATCCAGTACTCAGTGCGTGAGAACCGGCTGCAGATGACCACCTCCCTGGAGAGGTAGGAGTCTCTGCCAACACTGGCATCCTTGGGCCCCTGCATGGGCATTACCATCACCATTTGTTTTTCTGCTCCAGGGTCTTTCTCTTATCCATCCAGCGCCAGCCTACACTGCCAGGCTGATCGGGTCACTATTCCTGCTCCAGAACCCTCAGTGGCTCCCCATTTTCTAAATGATCTTTTCTCAAGTCTTAGCCTGGCACTCAAGGCTCTTGTCAAATTCTCTCCCACTGCTGCCATTATTCCACTAGGGTCTTGCACAGTGGGCTCTGGCTGTGAGCCCACGCTCCTCTTTCCATTTAATAGGCTTTTGCCCATACTGTCCAAATGCCTGCCACCTATCAGTGCCAGCACAACTAATTCCTCCTCCAGGTAGCCTTTTCTTATGCTAATAACAACTAACATTTATAGAGCTCTGTCTACATTGAGGCTCTGGCTACCAACATGATATTCATTATCCCACATCAACATCCTAGTTTCACCTTCAGTTGTTCATTCATTTTTGTATTTGCATTAATCTTTCATCTGGCTTGTAGTAGGCCAGGGTTCTTTCAGTTGCAAGAAACAATTCCAACTTTAACTAACTTAGTGCCAAAGGGAATCTTTTGGCTTACATAATTGAAAATTCTAGAGGTAGACTTGCTTTCAGGCATGGCTGGATCTAGGCATGCAAATGAAGCCCTCAAGAATCTGTCTGACTCTTCCCTTGGCCCTTTCTATCCACTTTGTTGGCTAAAGTCTCAAGCAGCCTCTCCCCAGGTGGTGGCAAAGTGACCCCAACAAGAGAGGCCTCTTATCCAATAGTTCTAACAAAATGCCAAGGCTGCTTCTCATTGGTCTACCATGGATCACATGACCAACCCTAAGCTAATCACCATGACTGTTCTGATTGAACTACTCTGATTGGCCAGGCCTGGGTCATGTGCTCAGGCTGGGGGCTCTGGATTCCGCCTCACCTGACTGTCTTGGAATGAGAGTAGAAAATGGAGAGTCTGCTATTGGAATAGGGAATAGATGCTGGGATGATATAGTTACCAGATGACCATCGCATGACCTGTTCTGGTGCCAATGTGAGTCAGTGCCTATTGGATAGAGACTGTGCAGGGCTGGGTGAGGGTTTCTAACTCTGTGTCCTTCAAGGATCTGGAACTAGTTGGTTGGGCTGCAAATCTCTACATACCTGGCCTTGAGCAGGAGCAAAAGACACGACTGGGGATGGGGGTCCCAGAGGGAAGAGCAAGAATCAAGGAGAGGAGGCAGTGGTTTGAGCTGTGAGAAACAGAATGAGCTATAATGAAAGAGAGTGAGTGCCCCATCAGAGGTAGCATGCAAGCAGAGATGTATAAACACCTGATAGGAAGGCAGAGAGGAAACTTCTGAATCAGGGTGGGGTGGGAGTGTTTGAGATCTCCTTTCTCCAGGGCCAGGGGCAGTGGACCTGACTGCCCTCTCCCCTCCTTTTTTCCTTCTCCTCTGCAGATTACTGAGCCTGTCCCGGAAGTCCTCATCGATTGGTACCTTCGATGTAAGAGTCCCAGCTGTTTCTGCCTAGTCTGGCAGACTAGGTTTATTCTCTCTTGGGATTGCGGGGAAGGGCCCTGAAATGGAGGCAAAGTAAATAGAGCAGGTCATGTGGAATCTGGGGATCCTGACTTGCTGTTTGACCTTGGGAAAGTCACTTAGCCTCTCTGATTCCCTGTTTTCTTTTCTGGGTAGAATCTGGACATGTCCGTGGATTGATTGTAAAAACACTGTCATAGCCCTGGCCCGTTTCGCTCAGTGGTTAGAGCATTGCCCCTTGGACCAAAGAGTCGCGGGTTCAAGCACACGTACCTCAGTTGCATTTTGATCCCTGGCCCTGGTCAGGGTCAAGCAGGAGGCAACAAATCAGTGTGTCTTTCTCATATCGATGTTTCTCTCTCTCTCTTCCTCCCTCCCACTCTATATCAGTGGAAGATATCCTTAGGTGAGGCTTAAAGAAAACACCAACATTGTCATGCATAGCAGCAACCTGAGCTGGCTTGGTTAACCTAGCTGTTCTTTTTATTAATCTCTGTAGCTTCAGAGCCTAACACAGAACCTGACCCAGGCAGGAGGTGCTAAAAATACTAACAATAGTACTTACCGAACACTTACTCTGTGCTGCATACTTTAGCCAAACTCACTGAAGCCATGTGAGTAGGTGCCGTTATATTACCATTTCACAGATGAGGAAACTGAGGTACAGACAGGTGGTAAATGAATGACTGATCAAAGCTACTGAGTTGTCTATAAGAGCAGGAATGGGGTCCACAGGCCACCCAGTGTCTCCTGAATTCCTCCATGCTTGCACCATGACCCAAGGCCCACATGTCACCTGAACAGGGACTAAGCAGAGGTGAAAGGCGTCCGACTACAGTTAAACAGGGTCAGGCCATTTTGAGGCTGGACATATTATTTGATATCTCTAATAGTATTCATTCCTGTGGTCCCCAGACCCAGTTGGAATGAAGGCTGAAAGATTTTGTTGAATTGAATTGAATGATGGGACGTGGGTATTTTCTCTCTTTCTCTTTCTCCCCCAGGAGAAGAAATTGACAGGCTTTATCACGGATTTTCTTCGAGAAGCCTACATCCCCGCTGTCAATGGTGAGGACTCCAACAGGCTTTGGTTTTGCTGGTGCCCAGCAGGGAGGGATGCCAGTTGGTGGTCTCAAAGCCCCTCCCCTGGCCCCAGATGGTGGAGGCTAAAGGGAATGGATTCATTGCTGAATCTTTGAGACTAATGGAGTCTTAATGTCACCTGTTTACGGACAAAGACACCTCCCACCATTTGGAACCTTTGACCTTTGACCCCACAGCGTGAGTCAGATCTTAACCCAGACCTGGGATGTTAATACATAGTAATCTGCCTATGCTGTCTAGGCCTGTGCAGTGGGCAGACACCATGATCAATTACAGCACGATTTCCCGCTGCCCTGCTCCAGGCAGCCACTCAGTCAGCTGCAGAGTAGTCAGGCTGAAATGACTCTTGCTGTGTTTCTCAGATGTGCTACGAGTTGGACTTCCACTTCCGGACTTTCTGGACATGAATTATAACCTGGCAGAGCTGAACATAGTAGAGGTGAGGCAAGAAACAAGGGGAGGCCGTGATGGTCAGCACTTTTGGCCAATGAGTGACGAGGATAAGCCTGCCTCTCTCAACCTGGAGGGAGGGGGCTGAGGGCAGTGGCCACCAGCACAGTCCTGCTAATCCCTTGAGTAGCACCCCGCCTTTCAGAACCTGGCCCCCCGAGGTTAGGGGATCCCCAGAAGGAAATGTGAATTCTGCCGGCTCTCTTTCCCTGCCACCTCAGGCAAATTATTTCACCTTTCTCTCTGCCTCTATTATTCTGTGCTAAAAATGGGGTGATAATATGGGTCCCTGCTTCAGAGAGCTGTCGGGATGATTCATGGAGATAATTCACCTAAAGGCATGTATAGTAAGTGCTCAATAAATATGAGCTTTACACTGCATGCCAAGCACTGCACATAGAGCATTACATGTGCATTTTTCTAATTCTATCTCTCCACTCTGGGAGGTAGGGGTGCTTGTCCCCACTTGGCCATTGAGAAAGTTGAAGTTCAGAGAGGTGAAGGATCGCAGGGCAAGTTTCACTCATGCTCTCCTCTTAAACACTGGCTTCCATGACCTGGTCACGGCCCGGTCCATCCCATTCTGTGCCTGGGTGGCCCCACCTTTGCTCCCCCCATCCCTGCCTGGCCCTTTGCCTCCTGCCAGAACGCCCTGGTGATGGACTTGAAGCTAGACTGACAGGATTCGGGACAAGATTTGGCTGCCAACACCAGCACACCACCAACTGGCTACACAGCGTAGAGGAGCCCCTGATTGGAGCCAGGGGGCCTGGCCCCCACCAACACTGGCTGCTTCCCTTAACAAGAAGTGGTGGGGTGGGGGTGGGGGGAGGCCCGGGCTGAGACCTTGGCAATAAACAGGAGAGAGGCCCTCACAAACATGTAATGTCTTGACTTTGTTATTTGTAGCAAATTGATGGGTGGCTTTTCTTCCCCTTGGGTGGGTTTTCGGATCTAAGACCAGCTGGAGGTCTGAGGGAAGCTGGTCACAGCCTTGGGGCAAGCCTGAGCATATGTTGAAAACTGCTGGATACTATGCTCAGGGCTTTCCTTGTACCATCTCATTTAATACACACAATAGCCTTATGTGAAGAAGGTAACATTGCCATCCCCACTTTACAGATGAGGAAACTAAGGCACAGCGAGGTCAACTCCCTCGCCCAAGGTCGCACAGTTTAGCAAGTGGCAAACCTCTCCCCTCTCCCCTTAGTTGCTCGTCCCCCAATCTTGGTACCTTGAGGGTGGCCCTGTTCACAGGGAACCTGTAGAAGACCCAGGGGGGCTGCCTCTGTCTCCTCCTTTCATTCTCACAACAGTGGAGAAAGATGAAGACTGTCCTCATCTCCCAGGTGCAGAGACTAAGGCTCAGAGAAGTGGGACAACTGGCCCAAGGCCATCTGGCAAGCCAGGGGACAGAGCTGGGACGGGAAATCTGGTGCCAGGCTGCCTCAGCCACTTCACTGTCTGAGCCTCAGTTTCCTCACCTGTAAAATGGGAATAATGGCAGTACCAACCTCGGCAGAGTTGTCATGAGGATTGAATGAATAAAAGCGTGAACAGTGCGTAGTGCAGGGCCTAGCACCAAGTAAGTGCTCCATGCATGTTAGCCACAGGTGAGTGTTTGAGGCCAAGAGGGATGTGAACAGGTGTGTCTGTGCTAGAGTGGGGGGCAGCTGTGCGAGACTGTGTGCCCAGGTGTGTGTTTGAGCAGGTGTCAGTATAAACGGCCTGTGGGCCGGGGCAGGCGTCTGTGTGGGTGCAGGTGCCCCGCTGTGTGGGTGTGTGTGTGAAGGACCTCTGGTGCCGGCCTCGTCGGTGCGGTCTGTGTTTCATGGTCACTTGCGTGTTGACTGTGCTGGGTGCGTTTCCACGTCTCACAGATGACATTCGTGTGAGGATCGGCTCTGATATTTGTCACATCTGCCCCATCTCCTCTCTTGGATTGACACTGGTATGTTCTTTAAATGGACCCCTTTTACAAGTAAATAAATGTGTGTTTACACATAATACAGTTAATATACGTTTTAAAATAAATGGATTCTGAAAATCTGTGTCATTTGCTAGAATGTAAAAGAAAAACCCTTACCTTTGAAAGAGAAATGTACACTGGGGCCTCCTACTGGAAATTATTGGGGTGATGGCCATGTATTGGGGTGGGGCGCATTTGTCAAAATATGTCTCTGTGGGGTGAGTCTCTGTACGTGGGGAGCCCGGGTAGGCCTGGCGGGGAAGGAGTCTGGGTCTGGCACACGTGTCTGTGGGTGTGTGGTGTGGCCAGGGGCCTTGTGGCCAGGTCTGCCCTAGTACAGCCTGGCCCAGATCCGAGCAGCAGAGGAGGGAGGGCCAGATGCCAGGGCCACCCCCTTGTCCCTCACCATCAGCCCTAATCCCACACCTATCATTTCCCCGATTCTGGGACAATGGCAGCTTTGAGACAGGCCTGGCAGATACCTACTCCTGGGTAACCCACGAGTGGCTGGTGCCCGACCTGGGGCATGTCAGAGACACCCCTTCCACTCCCCCATCCCACCCGTGGCTGTTCACACAGCACACTCATGGCCACCTAAAGCCTCCTCACAACCTCCCCAGGCTCAGTGCACAGATGGGGAAACCAAGGCCCAAGGCTGCGAGAGTCAGGAGGCCTGTGTTCTCAGCAGGAGCACATTGTGGCCTTGGACAAACTGCAGTTCCTCTCTGAACCTCAATTTTCCCGTCTGTAAAATGGGAGAGGGGTTAGATGCTCTGGCCTCCAATTCGATTTTCGACACTCTTTGAATTTACCCTGAACAGAACATGGGGTCTAGGCTGGCAAGGGAACCCTACACTGTGACCCCACCCCCTGGGGAGGCAATGATAAAAGTTCTGTGCCCATGGGCACTGGTCACCTTTTAAGACTCTCCCAACCTTCGATGAGGAGGCGGCACCTTCGAGAGATGAAGTGACCAGCCCCTAGGGCACACACACCTGTGGAGCTGGAACTTGAACCCTGTTTGCCTGAATCCAAGTCTCCTCCTTGCTCTGTCAAACCACACTCAGCAGCAGAATGCATCGTCCTCCTTGAAAGAAACCAAGGTCCAGAGGGGGTGAGTGACTGACTCAAGGTCTTTGCTCCTGGGCCCACAGCTGTCCAGCCCCAGGGGTCTCCCAGGAAGCCCACACCTGGGAACACAAAGACGCGCGGCATCCCTGGCATCTGTATCCATACCCATCACCACCCCTCCCCCGCCCCACCCCCTCAGCTCAGGTGCTCTAGGAAGGCCTCTCAGAGACCTCACCGCTGTCCGAGCTCCTCGGCTCCCTCGGTGCTCTCCCGTGATGCTCCAGAGTCCATTTCCAGGATGCGTGTTCTCAGCCAGACTAGTCAGGTGAGGGCGGGCACCTCTGATGTCAGCCCGTTTGGCAGATGGGGAGACGACAGCTCCGCAAGGTAAGTCACTCGGTAGTGAGTCAGGGTCAGCACTTGAACGCAGGGATTTTGGCTCCAGAGCCTTCACTCCAGGAGCTAAAGCCCAGGGGTATTTCTCCTCTTCCAGTCCCTCTTCTGCTCTAATCCCTTCCCTGGCTTCCTGCACCCTCACTGAGCCTCTCGAAAGGTCTACACATCAGGGTGCCCTAGACTCTAGGCTTGTTAAAGACGGTAGTTCCCAGGCCCTCTGTCCTTGGCCTGCTGAGTCAGGGTCGCAAAGACGTGTCTTTTATGAATTCCTTCCCATGGGCAGGATGGATCCCTGACTCAGCTTTGGTACCTGAGGAGACTTGCAGGTGGCTGGGGAGCGGGTGGGGGTCTGAGTATCCTCTGGGGTGGGATCTGGAAGGAATTGGGGAAGACGAGGCAGACCAGAACTGAAATAGCGTCTTGTGCCCTTTCAAGAGGCCGGGCTGATGAGTGTTAGGGTCAGATGGCCCGGCTGTGCCCCTGCGTGACCTCGGACCAGTGGCTTCCCCTTGCAGAGTTCCGGCTCCCTGAGTGTAAGACGGGGAGATAATGACTTCAAGAGCCATGGTGGTGACTATACGAATTCACACATGTCAATGCCTCGTAGACAGTAAGTGCTCAGTAAATGCTAGGTGCTGGCTTTCCCTCTTCCTCCCTCAAACAAATGCCTTAAAAACACACCTATGCGGCTCCGTTGGTTGGGTGTTGCCCATGAACCGAAAGGTCGCTGGTTTGATTCCTGGTCAGGGTACATGCCTGGGTCGCCAGCTAGATCCCCCAGTAGGGGGACTGCAGGAGGCAGCCGATGGATGTTCCTCTCTCACATCGATGTTCCTCTCTCTCCCTCTCCTTCCCTCTCTCTCTAAAAATCAGTAAAAATATTTAAAAAAAAATACCTGTGACACCCAGAGCTGGCGAGGATGTGGAGCAGCAGCGACCCTCCCCGCTGCTGGTGGAGACCCAGCGGCAGAGCTGCCTTGGAGAGCTGAACCTGTCCTCGCACGACTGTGATCCAGCAGCCCCACTCCCGTTAGCCCAGAGAAATCAACATAAAAATATATGTCCACAGAAAGACTTGACATGAATGTTCTTGGAAGCTTTACTCATCATAGCCAACCGCGGGAAACCAGGGGACCACACAGGAGCATGGATAGCAAACCTGTGTGCTCACGTAATAGAGTGCTATGCTTAGCAAAGAACGAGTCATCGTGTCACACACGTGAATGGGTTTCAGAGACATCGAGTGGGAGGGAAGCTGTACACAGAGGGGCACACTTGTGCCATTGCACCCCTGTGACCCTCAAGAGCATACTGGGCTGACCCATTGTGTGAGCCGTCAGGACAGTGGTGACCCTTGCTGGGAGTGACTTGGAGGGACACCAGGGGGCTTCTGGAGTACATGGTTTGTGAAAGTTCGTCGAGCTGTACACTTGATATCTGGGCCCGTCTCTGTATGTGCTTTCTATTTTAACAAAGTTTATTTTTTAAAAGTATGGTGTGATTTAGGCACCTGGCTCAGTTTCTGAAGTCACTGAAATGAACGTTGCAAGTTTAGGGGTTCTGAGGTCATGAGGGGGACCAGGCCAAGGCCATCGCTTCTCCCTGTCTCACCCGGCAGGAGACGGACCCACAAACACCCAGAAACACGCTTTCAGCCTGGCATGTCACAGATTCTGGGAGAGAAAAATCCCAGAGGGCTGTGGGATCGTAGCCTGATTGGGGATCAGGAGGGCTTCCCGGGGGTACTGACCCAGTACCTACAGAAGAGTTGCAAATGAAAGCTAAAGTCTGGGAGTCTGTATAGTAACCCGCAGAGCCTGTTACTTCCTTGGCCCCATGTCCCCCACTTCCCTCCACCACACAGGCCTCCTTAGGGCTCCTGGAGACATTGCCTCAGGGCCTTTGCACTTGCTCTTCCCTCTGCCTGTCTGGCTTTCCCCCAGACAGCCACCTGGCCCCTCCCTCTCCTCCTGCTCCAATTGAGGCCTCCCCTGACCACCACATTGAAAACTGCACCCCCGTCACCACTTTATTTCTGTCACCACCTCTGTGTCATGTGCTCCTCTGTTCCCTCCAGAGCCATGTTGTCCTACACAACGGCCAGTACCTACATGAGGTGACTGAGAGCTCGCAATGTGGCAAGTCCAAACTCGTCCTGCCAGGGGAGTCACAGACCAGCATGAGAAAAAAAATGTAGAGTTTCTCATTAAAACTTTTTTTTTTTTGGTATGTGCCCCTAGTGGAAATCGAACCC